TTGAATATATAATTTTGTTAATATTTTAAGTAACTTACTAATTGGAAATAAAATATTTCAAGAATTAATTATTTAATCAACATATGAAAATTTATAACAATTAAGCGATTATAATTTTTAAAATGGTTAAATCACTGATCTGAGATGATCGTTAAATTATCTTTTGAAATGTATTTATTTAGTAAATTAGTAAATATGAATGTCGAAATGAAAATTTTATATCACAGTAGTATATTGTCTTTAATATTTTAATAAAAGCATAGTACTATATTATTTTGTTGTTAAATAAGCCTGATCATAAAATAATGACAATTAACGCGTAATCATCAATATAAATTATTACTAATATTTATATTGATCTTGTTATTCAGTATGGTTTATAATTGAAAAAATTGTACATTTGCCAAACTACTTCTATTGCTAAACGGCTTCTATTGATTCTCTAGATTGCTCTTTGTTCATCTTTTGGATGACTCATCTGTTTTTCACACTTTTCTTTACTTATTACTATGGATTGGTTGATATGCTCATAATTATTTCACTAAAGAGTTTCATGTGTAAATATTTGTCCCCGCGTCACTTGGATCTGTTCTTCCCTACTTCATAGTAGAAGCTTGAGAAATATTCTTTATGAAATTGATTTTTATGAAGAGGTTAGAAGCCATAATACTGTAATCCTAAAATTGTTATTTGCACGAACATATTGTCATACATATGAACAAGTTTGACTAGATATCGCTAGTTTAAAACAATACAATATTGTTTAATATAAAATTTCTAACATATTTTTCAACATTATAATCTTAGGCCTTTACTATCGATATTGAAAGTAAAAAAAGTAGTTTTTTTCTTTAAATTTAGATTTAAAACATTCCATATTTTATATCTTTATTTGATTTAAATATTCTATAAATAATTAGTCAAAAATAATTATAATTACCATAAATTGTCATAATTGCCTTTATAAGTGTTTGCTGTGACTCTCACAAATTAGTTAGCATAATGCATTAAGTATTATATCTTCTACTTTATTAATGGATTTCTTAATGGAAATGGATTTTTTAAGATTTATTTTTTAAGAATAATTGTGAAAACTATTTGTGCCATAGCCAAGCTTAAAAATTTATGTTCTAAATTACGCTGCATACCTGTATGAATAGATAATCGTGTTTGAAACGTGGTTTGAATATTTGAAGGGATGCAATGTCTCCACAAATACAGCAATAAAATTCATAACATTTTTCAATATTCAAAAGTTTTAGTGCACACGATGGAAAGTGAAAAGTACATTGGAATGGCATTTGCATAGTTTAATCGGCTACATTAAAATATTAGTAACTAGTTATTATCTTGTATTTAGTTACTTTTTCTATTAATTACTAACTCATCTTTAATAGTATATTGGCAGGTTTGATTCAAATTTTTATGATATTAATAAAATGAAAAATTTTCATGTCAATATAACATAAACAATTAAATTAATTACATTTAAATAAATGACACATAAAACAGTAGTACAATTATCAATATAGAATTTAGATCTTAAATTAATATTAATTACCAAATAATTATGAATTAAACGAAAATAGTTATGTAGCTTTTTGATATTTGAATCACGTATTCAATTTTTTCCTATTCATACCAAAATAGTATATTGCTAAACTATATTCAATTTATAATCCATTATTTATTGAAAGTCAATTTTCTAACTGAGTTTTGTATATATAAAAAGGAAAACTTATTTAAATAATATTTTATCATAATCAACAGGAAAAAAATCGATAAAGATATCTAATTTATTTTGCAACTTGGAATTTCTCAATTTATTAGAGGTAGAATAGTAATATTTGTGAAAATTCTAAATAGAAATTTTATCAATTATATATGTATTATTTGGTTAAATATTAATGAAATTAATATTGTGAATTTCCAATATACAGATTAAAATATAATATTAATTGAAATATAAAAATATATTGAATATAAATATAAATATAAAAATTTATATTTATAAATTTTCGAATTTTAATCTACAAATATTTTAATTCTTGAGTTGCACTAATTAGTTACGAACATTTAATTCAAATTTGATTATTAAAAACTTTAGTTATTTATATTATGTAATATTGAATATATCAAACATTTTATAAACAAAATATTTTTAAATATATTTTTAAAATGTTCATTCAATTTTTGAAAGCATTTCATATATTTTAATCAGTTATTTAATTACTTACTTATATAAATATAATAATTTTATTTTATGAGCTATTTGAAGTTTCTAATTGTACTAATTTGGGTTTAATACAATAATGTAATAATTGTCAAAATTGGGCTAAAATACGATAGTCATTATAATGAAATCATTTTAATATTTTATAAGCCACATATGTATAATGTATATGTGGCTGTTATTTTAACTAAAATAGTTAAAAACAATATAGTTATTACATATGCATGAATATATGAATTAAATATATAATTAAAATAAAAAAGTCATCTACTGCAAGATCCAATTAATGATCATGCATCCTTAAGAATCTTCTAATATAATATCACAATAATTATTTTTATACTGATTTTTTATTTAAATCTTACACTATTTACAACTTTAAGTTTATCCTAAGTATTTTAATTACATAACATAGTATTCTAATATGCCATTTCATAAAAAGCCTATCTGTATTAAAATAATTTTTATATTCCGTGGATTCTAAATATTATTCATGCAAAATTCTGCAACAGAATTTTATGTAAATATTTGCATTGCTGTTTGAACCTAAAATTAAATCGATATACTAATTAGTGGCATAAGATATATTCTTATGCTATGTCAATTGCAAAATAATATACTATTGTTTTATCAATGTTTCAAATCCTACTATATGACCGTACAAATTCAGGTAATTAAAGTTCTCATTTGAAAATGTTACGACTAGAATGAGATACTTTTCACGTTTGGCGTCGCTATAATATAAGTTAAATGCATATAGCTATAAAAGAGTGAATATCAATTCAAGAGAAATTACACATTGTAAGAAAATAAGATATGTAGAACAGCGACTCGAAAAATTATGTCAACAATGTACGATTGTGCATTGTTGAACTCAGTTCACATTCTAAACTTCGAGGCGATTATTCCTAATTACTTCTTTAATCTTCATATTTTTAAATTATACGGGGATTGCTACTACATAATTAAATAACGAAAGTAAAGAAGCTACTAATTGATATTTTGTAGCATAATTATAAACAATCCAATATTACATATATATATAGTTATTAATTAGAAAAAAATCCGAGAGTATTTAATAAACATTTTATTATGGTTTACTTTAATTACTAATAAGGCCTTTTTATTCCGACTTTAAAGTGTAAGAATTCAAATAAATTACTAAAACATCTTTTATAAATGTAAGATGTTATTGTTATTGTTATAACAATAAAGATTGTTAAAAACAAAGCAATATTTAAGGTATAACTTTTAACACAATGCAATACGTGACTTGCAAACTCAAACTTCAAATTTTATAACACTTCACTATTAAAACTACTACAATATTTTATAAAGTTATAATCCCTGCATACAATAAAAAATAGTTTCAATATAGTGCATGACGTTAAAATCATCTCACGAGCCAACAAACGAAGAATGAGCGAAGAGAGGAGGAAGACAATTTAATTTTTAGTTAAGAAGACTTGTTGGATTTTTATGCGATCAAGTCAAAAAATAGAGCGTATAAAATAGTTTGAGTAAAATAAAATAAAAGAGTATATACTCTATTAAAAGAAATTTATTATTTAGTTCGTTTATTTATGTATAAATAAGAATAAAAATATTTCGATACAAGCAGATAAATGGAGTATAATATGAATTCAATATATCCCACATGCCTCGACAAAATCCACTGCACCAAGTGAAAATTAATTAATTTTTTTTTAAATATGATGGGTTTATTAGATATTACTAAGTGGCAATAAACTATTTGTAAAAGCATTTAACAATTGGTAATTATATATTCATAAGCAGAATTTTATATTCACATATAAAATTTTCTTCGGATAAAAATGTATAAATACAATTGAATGTAATTATAACATTATAAAACATAATATAAAGTTTTTAATTCAGAAAAAATCGAAAAAATAAACATACTAAATAATGAGTCTAAAATATATAATAAAATATAAATCCTTATTAATTGTAAATACATTTTTAATTAACGATTTATTATTTTTCAAAATTTAATTCAACCTATAATAACTAACACGCTAAAATATTAAACCACAAGCATAATTATATAAATTAATTATTATATGTCTATATAAATAATATAAATAAAGTTCAATTAAAATAAACATTCAAAGATTAAATATAAAATAACCATTTACATAATTTAGTTATAAATCAATGATCTATGTTATAATTAATAAATGTCTAAAGAAGTAAATTAATTAAAATTTATTTTAAAATCTAATTTTTTATTAAAAAGAATTACATTCCATACATTTTTCTATATACACACACATTTTTTAGGCGTTATATTTCAATTTACCTTAAAGACTTTCTTTTTTTTTATTACAATATAGAGTTTGAAAATATATTGAAATAAATGATAAACATGCATATTTTATAAGCATTAATACATTATGTATAAATATTAATTGCAAAAAATACAATATATTTTAATAGTATACTTTATTATAATATTTGTATGTTTTTGAATTCAATTTTTATACATTATTGTCAAAAGATAAATAAATACGGTGACTAAATTTATTTTTGTGGATTTATTTGATATAATAATAGATAAAATATTGAAATATTTTGCAAATTTTTCTAATAATCTGTAATATACTCAGATCTTCAACCATGTAACATCTTTTTTTGGTTAAATAAATTTCGATAAAATACAAATATTTATTAATATTTATCTTTGTTATACTAGAAAAAAAAAACAAAAAAAAATATCGATGAGATGAAGGTTTCAATACTAACGAGTTCAGTACTAATGTGAAATCTTCATATTTACATTAAATCCATAACTAATCACAGGAGTGTACCGAGGGCTTGAACATTCATACTTGGTATTATAATATATTTTCTTGAGATAAAATATTTTTACTATATATGCATTCAAGGACTAATCTGTTCAGTGAAAAGGAAATTCATTTCATTTATCTAGTAGGACATACGCTTAATAAGTTAGTTACGTTGGAGGCTCTTTTCCATTAAGAATATGAAGCTCTGGATCGCATTCTTTTTTATTCTAAAATAATAAAGTAAATTAGTTTTTCGAAAATTAATTCGAGCTATTTTTAAATATTTAAAGTTAATTACAAAGTTAAGTTATTTGGTACAATTAAGGAGAAGGATTTAAATAATTATAGTTTTATTGGAATTTAATAATAAATGAAAAAATAACACGATATTCCAAGAAATAATCGATTGAAAGTGCTAGGAACAAATTTCAATATTTATAAAAGTTTTTAAGATAATAAAAGTATTAAAGATTTATTATTAATATGTAATTTAAAAAATCACCCATCCACCTTTTTCAATTGTGCAATCCGATGACGTAATAAAAGTTCGTGGCGTTGCGCTTCGGGAAATGATATTGTAATAGGATAAGAAAACGTTCCGTTAGAAGATTTACCAAGTCCAATAAATAACCAAGTTGTCAGTACGTAAGGTATTGTGCCAACAGGAAGGCCTATCTAAAATATTTAATTTATATTTGCAATTATTTCCGTATAAGATCGAAAACAAATTATTTCAGTTTTATTTCTTACATATAAAATTAAAAAGAAAGAAACAAGTAAATACGTTTTTTTAAATTCATATACACACAATAGTACGTAAATTAATGAAAAAAAACTTTATAATACATATAAAGCTTACATTTAAAATAATACATTATACTTAATATTGATTACCGGTAAAAAAATTATCTGCAATACGTGTTGTAGAAAGGCCGAGAGAACAACAGCAACAAATGTAGCAATGGCAACTTGGCCATTCAGCACTAGAAAACTGCCTCCTAAACTTGTTCCTATCAAGTAGCCATTAAACCCCCACAAACCACAATACACACTCTCATAAGTCGCACCAATCTGAAAACCTAAAGTGATAATGAAATTTGTTATATTAAATACTTTTACACGTATTTCTAACAAAGAATATAAATATATATAATTAACTTCGAAGACTTTATAAATCTCTTATAATTTGTTCCTGATTTTTTGTTTTAGGCATGCGGTATTGCACGTTATATTTTACTATTTTTCTGAACTGGTTTTATAATTCTTTTTGGAACATATTTTACGATTAAATTCACAAGTCAATTTTCAATATTACTTATATATATGTAAAGTTCATTTAATTTATTAATGTTCAATAAATATTAAATTTCTTTGTAATTTTTGTTAATTAAAATTCATATGTTCTAATACTTCATACTATTGAAATATAGATATTTTAGGTATTTCCCTATTAAAGATTAACTGTATCTTTACAATTGTTTGTTATATGTTATTAAGAATGTAATAGTGTGCTCCAATAATAAGCCTGGCTTCCGAGGTGATAATTTATTTGATATATACAAAATTAAAACTTACCAACGAGTGAGCCAATTAATGAGCCCATATATCCAAAAAGACACGTAATTGGTGAATATATTAAAACACTTAAATATAGAATAGCGCCCAAAGGTACGCTGTCAGTTGCAAACAACTGCGATGCTGAAGTCACTGATGCACGTACTATCTAAATACATAATACTCAATTATATAACTTTATTACCATTGAATTACTTTTGAAAATTAATTCCATAATAATTTATTATTTAATTTATGATTAAAAAATTTGAAAGTTTTTCGTTCTGACTGCTATATTCAGTAGCACGTTTTAATTACATTTAGTATTTTATTGTGTCTAAATTGTTATTATAAATATAGTTTTATTAAACATTAGGTTGTACTTTCGAAAGAAATATTTAATCATATTCATCTCACAGTATTCAACATTTTTTTGCATAATCTTGTATGCTAAACTTTATTATCGTTTATGATTCCATTATAGTATATTATATATATTTCATGAATTTCAATAGAAGTATTTCATACGACATAAGGAAACCAATCATTTGTTTTATTTAATCCACTTATATTAATAACGAGACAGTAAATGAATATCTTCTTTTCAAATTAATATTCAATGTAGCTTCAGTTTTTTTTTTTTTTTTTTTTTTTTTTTTTTTTATTTAATAGTAGATATTCTATTGCGAGTTAATATAGCTACGTATATACATAAAAAGATTTAAATATAAATAGACATACAAATAGATGCTATCAAAGTGTAAATAGATAAGTTCATTTGAAAGTTATTAAAATTATTCAGAATTTCAAAGTTCTTTTGCCAAGTATTTATAAGAATTTTCTGAATAAACTTTATGTTAGCAAAGAATTTCACAGCTAAGTTTACGTAATTACATTGCCTATATGCAATTATATGTACTTTTTCAAACAAAAACAAAAATGAATATAATGAAACAAATACAGGATAAAATCAGGGAAATCTACATAAATGCTAAAGCAAGTGTAAAAATGATCTGTATGATATACAAGCCGCAGTAGGCCATATCTGTTTGTCACCCGACTCGAAAACAATAAATAGCACGCGCATCCTCACCATTCCCCAGTCGAGGTCGTGGACGACAATTGTCGCATTCTCGACAAAGCGCTTGCTTGCATCCGTAGTAGCTGCTATCGTCGTTACCGGTGCCGTCACATTGTTCTGGAAAACGAGATGATACCGATGTGTTATGTGAGCTTGGGATTCGTACATAATATATTGCGCCCGTCCAACAAAGACTTTGATATCATGAAATTTACTTTCACTTTGAAATAATGCACACTTTTTTATTGATATCTAATCGTGATTTAATAAATGCCATGAGAATTTAAGAATTTTATGATTATACAAAAGCACGTGTGAATAATCCATCAATCATGAATTATAAAATAACTGATTAAATCAACGGTATTATATAACCGTTGTTGTTCCATCGTAATAAAAAGAAGTAATAAGTACTAAAAATTGAGATAGATATAATTTTTACTCAATGAGTATTGAATCATATAAATAAAATGTATTTTACTCGGTAGAATCATTTTACTTGGTAGAACAAATGATGTTGAACCAATTATTAAAATTTTTTTTCAGATTCAGTATACAAAATCAGCAAACAAAATTTACAATTAATTATTCAATACTGATTTTTTACGTTAATTTAGATTTTTAACCACATTTATATTTAACATAAATTTTTATATATTTAATTATCAAGTTTATAGCAATAGCTACTCTATACAGGGTAATACACTTCATAGAAAATTATCTTATATCGTGCTGCTCTTCTAATGTTATTATTAATCATTTGAGATACCTTTAGGAATATAATTTACATTTGATTGTATTGTATTAGTTAATTAAATGATAACTATTTTTTAATTACTTTAATTTTATGAACATATTCGAGTCATTTAAATTATTTTTTACAAAAACACATTTTGTGTAGCTTTTAATGACCTTTTCAGAGATTAATAACTATATTAATTTAAATTAATTTTGAACTTTAGTATATTCTTTTTACAATATCTATTTGACGAAAGGATATAAAACATTTAATATTAATTTAAAACTCAGTTTAAATACTACCTAAAACACCGTCTGTATAAGTAATATAAATATTCAGCTTACATGTGATACTATTAATAATATTAAATTCAATAAACATATTTTATTATTATTAACATTATTATTAACAATATTTTAAGCCAATATTAAATATATGCAACTTGTTCAAAAACTAAAAATTTGCAAGTATATAGTAAATTAAACTAAGAAAATTAAAAAAGAGTAGAAAAGAATAATATATAATTTAAAGCAGGTGAGTTAGAATTCTTACAGTGATACTGTCATTGACGAGAATTTTTTACAGCTTTATTATTAGATACTTTCTTTTTTTTTGAAAAAGCACAATAAAATAAAATTCATTTCTCATTATAAGATGCACGTATAATTCTATAAAAATTGTCATTAGTGAAATATAAAAATGTTAGCTTCATAAAAGAAGAAATCCGACTTTTAGGTTTTTAAATGACATCTAGTTGAAATAATTTAGTTATTATTGTTGAACAATTTTAATAATTGTATGCATGTCAAAAATCTATATTTTAGTTTCTTACAAGTTATTTGTTTCATCTTAGATTATTTACATATATGAATTAATTAAATGAATACTTTTAGGATAACAAGCAAAGAAATTTAGAAAATGAATTGACAGTAAGTAAAATTAAAAATAATATTAGTAAGTAAAATATAATAATTTAAATAATAATAAATTATTACTAAATATATCGATAATTAAAGAAACTATATTCAGAAATTTATTTATAATTTTTATAAAATATTTAAGAAAATATTCTGAGAATTGAATTTTGTATCAATTTTTAAAATATTTATGAAGTAAATATTCTAATTTATATATTCTTTCATATCTAATATTATTTAAATAATCTTTAGAAATAGATATCAAATATTTTTTAACATAATTCTAGTGATTTAAAATTATTTGCAATTTCAATATATTAAAATGAAAATAATATCTTAATTAAATAATTAAAATATATTGCAATTTATCAAAACATATTTCTTTCATTAATTTAATTTTTAACATTAAAGTTATAATTATCGATAATTAATAATGGTGCTAATATCAATGAATTTAAAAATATTTCGAATAAATGATTAATTATGAATTTCTAAACGGCAAAGAATATTATTATTATATATAATGATGATAATTCTTGTGACAAAATTAAATATATTAGATATAATAAGAACACATAAATATATTGAAATTTTTAATGTAAATAATAAAGATAATTTGCGACATTTTTTAATATGTAGAAAATTCTAATTTCTAAGCATTTAATATTTTTATACGTTCTTCATACAATGGGGAACAGTTATTAGTAAAAAAAAATATATAAAATGTCACATAATAAAATTATTATTTATATACATAATATATAAATTGAATATAAAGGATAAAAATTGGAGATTTATAAAAAAAAAACTTACCATACTTAATAATGGCCATGTTAATATTTCAGATGTTGATATATCTAGCTGACTGTTTGCATTTTTCAATGTAAAGAGTAATATAAGCTCAGCTAAATTGAATGGCATAGTTAAACATGGAACACAACTATTTTCACATGCTCTCCAAAAATACGCACTGGAATAAAGTATTTTGACATATTTAAGAAAAAATAGAACTTTCAAGTTATTATCTAAAATACTATAAATCTTATATATTATAAGCTTTAATTATTTTACATTGTCTGATTATAAGCTGAAATTTTTAAATCTAGAATATCTTATTTTCCTTCGATATCTTTCCATTATTACATAATTTATGAATACTTATTTTCAAATATGTATAACTATTTTTAAATATTTTTACTGTCGGCATAAGATTAATTTCTATTTAACTATGAATTCCTGAAACTCTATAGTAAAAGTAACATTTTTAGTTTTCTTAACTCTTATCTCTGATAATATATTTAGGCGAATCTCGATTAATAGATAAGACTCACAAAGTACCTTCTCAATTATCAATTATATTTATCTTATTATCAATGCGATGCTTTATTCTATGCAATATTATTCTTGTTTTATTTTTCTTGATAAGTCTTAATAGGCTAAATTATTTCTTATTAGACTTTCAAGTGGCTCGTTAAATAACTCGCAACTTATTTAAAAATTGAAAATAAATATACTATATACACAATATATTAAATATAATTTAATGGCTTATATGATATTAACTGAACATATATTATTATTATACTAAATTAAATGTATGGCAAACATATAAATTGCATTAAGAAATTAACAAACACAAATATAATAATTAAGTATCATAATATAATTTATTATGAATTATATTTATAAATGAGAAATTTGTCTTTTCTAATAATTTTGAGCTATTGAATAATGAATTTAATTAAAGAAATGAATACATAAATATCTATAAATCAATAATAACAAATGAAATCATTAGTTAACATAGAACATAAAATATTATATTTTACTGATTTGTATTATATCTTTAAAAAGTCGCTTAAAGCTATTTTAAGATGCTCTATTTTATTGATAAATATATAAATTTTTAAATTATTAAACTATTGTTTAAAACCCTTTCATAGAATTTTATCTGAAATAAATTTTATACTTAGAAATTTATAAGTGAGACAATAAAATACATTAACAATATGTAGTTTCCATAAATAAAGAAATTAAATAAGATAACATTTATAATCGTATAAAAAAAGGTTATTGTATTTATTGGACAATAAAATTAATTAAAAGAATTTTACATATGAGAAAACCATTGATAAAGGAACAATTACTTACATAAATATAACTCCTAATAGTATCATTAACATACTGAACCCATCAAATTTTCCATATATGATAGGTACAAAATAATACGATACTGCGCCAAAAATTAATGGATTAAAGACAGTCAATCCATTATCTATGTTTTCTTTTGGTTCTTTCAATAACTATAAATAAATTAAAATAATATGCCATATATTGACATTAAAAAAAAAAAAATATATATATATATATATATATAAAGGAATATAGTGTAAAACATACATATTATTGTTCAATAAAATATAAACGTATACTGTGCATAAAATTTAATTTATTAAAGATTCATTTGTTAAATTTAATTAAAACTTTTATATTATTTTTATAAATTATCAGTTCTTTTAATTATAAATAATAATTTCAAAAATTATAAGCAAAAAGTATCATTTTTAATAATATGAATTTATGCTTAAATATCTCATAGTTGATGTTATTGAATAAATACTAATATTTGAACAAGTAAACGATATAATGTTTTATGAACAATAAAATTTATAAACAAAGGATATATAGTAATTTTAAAATATTAAAATTTTTAATCTATATTTATTGAATTATTCAAGTGGAAAAAAATATTAACAAATCGTGTTACTAGATGTATGATATTGTCCGATATAAAAGTAATTACTTCAATAAATACTTACATGGAACTATGAAAGGAACGGACTTTATATATTTGAAATATTAAATTATTAATATTCATTATTTAACCCAGAATATAAAATTTGTAAATAATACAATATACCGATAGATTGTTGGACTACTACTAAATAATGTAGAACAATAACAAAAATTTACATTATTTATATGTAGAGACATTGATATAGATTTAGATATTTACAAGAAGTGATTTTCGATAAAGTACACAAAGTTCATTTCGGGTCAGCTTATTGGACTCATCAAAACAGCTGTACATAACTTAAATAGGTCAACTCCGTCTGTTGTTACGATAAAGTATAAAGGACTCGTCTATTTATATAAATTTTCTATTTTCTAGTCATCTATAGAAAATACCTACAATTTCTATATGGGGTGTAACCCTTTAATCGCTTGGTTTCTATACTCCTCCCCTTCACCCGCTCACTAATTTCATCACATAAAATAATACCTGTCAATCACCGATTGAATCACACAAGTACACAATCTTCTTAAAAATTTCTAAAAAATTTTAGCATTTACGAAAACTCTAAAGACTTGTGTAAAATTGCACAAAAAATGTTCACTAACTGCATACGATTAAATGTTATATTAACATTTTGAATTCAATTTTTTACTAGTTAGCTAAACTAAATATTTTAGGGTGATTTAAAAAAAAACTATTTTCAAAATAACAATAATTAGATTAATAATGTCAAATTTTACATTTTATTCTATGTTAAGAAAAATTAATTTCATAAAGACTGAATTATTAATCTTAATATCAAAAATCAGCTGTTTTTGTAATACTTATCAGTGAAAAGATATAATTTAACATTTACCTTTAAAAGCTTTGAATTTTCTCGAAACAATTAATTTGTATGATATAATTATGTTAAATTGCAATAAATTTAATATTGTGTTTATCTCTACAAAATTATCAGCACATAGCTACAACTTGAACTTATACATATACACATAATATTGATTACTAGGATTTACTAATTATTGCACATTTATTTTTGTGATTATATTTAATATTTCAACACTTCATTGGACATTATGCTCTAAATATTAAATTATGGTGCTCATTATTGCAATATCGACTTGTGTAGCAGATAAATATGGATTTTATACAGCATTAAGAATTTCGGGGTGATTAAAAATCTATCATATTATTATTTTATATTCAAAATCACGTATAAAAATTGTTTTTGTTAAAAAACCTTTAAGCTTGTACTTTTAGAATTTTAATCAATATATAAATAATGCTTTAATGTTCTTTCTTTATTTACGATAAATCATATTACTTCAATGTTTATAGTGCTTACTTAATTTATGGAAAGATATTACTTAAATAATTATAAAATAATAAAAAAAATATTATTAGTATATTATTAATAACAAATGGTACAAGTAATTCAGTACAAAAATTGAATACAAACAGAAAAGTTAAAAAATAAATGATTTATAAACAAAAATACTCTTTTTGCAAATTTTATATTACTATTCAACCTTTTTCAGTTATTCCTATATTCGATATTTCATTACTTTCTAAGTGTTGTGAAAAAATGATTGAAAATTAACCACTTTTTCATAAAAATAACATTTATAATAAGTTCTGATGAAATGATGAACTAAATTAGCATAAAATCACTTACAGTAGAGTAAAATCAAGTATAAATATTATACTTGAAACTATTATATTGAATATAATTTCTTACAATATAGAAATATGTTGTATTAAATATGCTGTATTCGTGTATAATTATATATACGCCGATTAATATTGAAATTATCAGAATAGCTTCCACCTTATCATCAAACTTTACATTAATAATATGTGCATAAGATAATATTTTCACCAATTCTTAACTCTTATTTATCTAATATCTTATTTATCAGAGCAGTGATTGTTTAGCACTGTATGGTAATATAATTTAGATAAAATGATATTAAATTATTTTGAACTAAAAAATATTATAAAATAATATTTTAAATATCTTTAAAATCTATAGAAATATTTAACTTTAATTAAAAGTAAAAATTGGAACGTTAAATATTTTTATATTTACGAAATGTGGTAAAAATAAATTATTATAAATAAATAAATTAATAATATATAGTCGTATAACAGAAAACATCTAATTTTAAAAAACAATTATAATTTTAATTATTTTGAAAAAGAAATTTTATATGAATTGTAAATTCACGTAGATTGTTATTTTCATTTTCCAAATTCTTATCATTATTATTAAATGAACAAAAATAATAAAGTAAATATAATGATTAATTCTTATTTAGATCATAAAATCATTAATAAATAAATTAATATAATTCTAATATAGTACTTGCCATTGATATTAATTGGCCAAGAAAACCAGTTATTGAACAGGCAACAAAGGTTCCTGGCACAATCGATGCAACACCAATCATTAAGATAATTCCAGTTATTGGATTGTTAGCAAAAGTAACCTGAAAATTAAACTTATTTATAAATTGTTGCGTTATGCTTTTGTAAATAAATAATAATAAGAATATTACGCAGGAAATCATCTCAATAAATGAATTAAATCATTTTATGAAAACGATGTTTAAAAATATTATTTTTATTATTTTTTAATTAAATAAAATGACATCATTAAAAAATATATGCATTTGTTTAAATCTGAAGACAATTACACTAGAAAAAAATAGCTGTTTTCTAAAATGTAATCCTTTTTTATTCTTTTCTCTTCAGCTTTTTTTTTATTACCAATGTATTAGGCCGTGAATAATGTAATGATGTAATAAAAAATTTACAAATAATTTTGCAAATCAAATTACTCGGAGGATATATTCTATAATGTTATATATTTATAATAATCTTTAATAATATAAAATATATTTAATAAAAAACTATTATTCACTTGCTATATTTTTGTATAATAATTTTTAATCAATCAGTCTATATGCGCACAGAAATATAATTAAAATTAAAGAACCATAAAATATTAATTATTTTTTACATTTATTTAAAATAATATATATATATATATATATATGAATATATAACTCGTTAATTAAAATAATATCAAAATAATATAATGCTATTTTCTTAAATAATTTTTTTGTACATCAAAAATAATTGGTGTATATAATATATAATAATGAATAATGCATAATCATTAATAATAGATATTAAAATTGCTTTGAAAATGCTCAATCAATACATATTTTAATAAAAATTCTAATAACTTTTCAAATATAAAATTATTAAGTGATAAAATAAAATAGTAAATTTATATATCATATATTTATCAACTTCATTTTAAGTTTCATTTTTATTTATTTTCCATCAATTTCAAAATCCATTCGCGTTAATTTCAGTATATTATTTAAGACATTTCAATTAACATTTATAAATATTCTAAGTATTAAATAACAAAATAACTAAATCTTTTATTTTTTCATATAAATATCGAATATAGTTTTTATATTTCAAGTAATATGTAAAAAAATGAAAGACCTAGTAAGTAACTGTACAGTAAAGTAGCTTTATCTAGCCGTATTAAGTAATTCAAAATACTATTCAATTATTAATATTATTAATTCATAGGCACAAATTAATATTAATATATCTTATATTCAAAATTTTTTTATTTCAGATTAACAATCTCTACTATTTAATAAATTGTAAAACTAAAAGTACAAATACTATAATCTTTTAGTCAAAGAATGAATTATATTAAAGAATTAATTATAATTTATTTAAAATCTTTTTAAAATAAGATGTGGATAAATTGAGCGTTTGTATTTTTATTGTATGATATGTAACAAATACTTAATATTTAAGATGAATCTAACTATAAAGAACAATTAATATTGAAAACGAATAATAAAGAATAACGAATAATAAAAACAAATAATAAATAAAACGAATAAATAAAAACACCAAAACTATTAATTGTTTTTATTGATCAATAATTTAAAAATATTAATAGTATGGATTTATATTATAAATTTTAGATATTAAATAATTCTTATCATAGTGACATATCGATTGTAATATATGATATAATGTCGTCATTGCAAAGCAAAAAAATGCATAATGAAAAGGTGTTTTTTTTACTAATTCTAACGTAATAGATAAAATTCAAGATAAAAGAAAGTATAATAATAAATAAGTGCAGCGATAAAAATATTGAGATTAAATAATTATAAGAAATATATTCAGCATTAATATAAATACACGGTTTATATACTTTGAATTAAATTAGCTATATTAAAAATTGGTTGCTATTTTATAAATATTTAAAATAATAATATTCGGGAATCTTTTATAATGAAACGTATTAATAGTTGTTTTATAAAACATATTGATTTTTTATATTTGTAATGAGATACAAACCATATTACGATTTATTGTGAACACTGATCATATAATTAATTTCCTTGTCTTAATAAAGTAACAACATACCTGAGAAAATCCTCGGGTAAAGGCAACGAAAAATTTTAAGACCATCCAGCCTATACTATCTTTATTTTCCAAGTACTTTCGTAGAATGGGACAATCGCCACCAATCGTCCAACCATTTCTCGGCTAAATAGAAATGTACATTAACGAGGGCTAAATTTATCTACAAACACATTGAGAAATAGAAATATGTTTATGGCATGATTTCTCCCACCACCATTTATCGCTTTGTTGTTTTATTGAGCCTCTTAAAGCAATAATATAACCATATCATGATTTTTAAAGCCCTTAAAGTATTATAACTATTTACTGTTTACTATATTACTAACACATTAAAACAAGTATATATTTGCGAGTTGTATTACGAATCAATGTTTGAAAGAAAAATGTTTAATTTTTACTCATTTACCTTTTTATTATTTAAAAATTAATGACTGGCATCATACCAAAAATGTAAAACATTATTATCTTACGCAAAACTGTCACACGATTATCATTAATCCAATACAAAAAAACAGCTTAATATTTATTCTTAAAACATTTCATTCAGAAATTAAATTTGAAAAAATTTGAAAGACGTGCCCACCAAAAAAACATGACAATTATTATTGTACTATTTTCAACGTTGAAATTGAAAAATTAAATATGAATTGCCTAGTAGCAAAGCCATATCAATGATAGCATTGGAATATCGAGAAATCATGGAATTTATGATTACCTTTTTCTTTTGGAGGTGATCCTCTTCGGGATCGTCAATTGATTGCAGCTGCTCGGAATTTATCCATTCCCCGGTAGTCATCCTGATCGGTAAGAGCGACAACCGCTAACCATCGAATAACTGAAGCCGACTAACGATTTTTTCTCGGACATATAGAGATATAAAGAGTCTTCGAGCGACGAATACCGATTACTGCCCGAGATGGAGTTTATTAAGTTAACGCTAAGTATTGCTTTCCAAGATAATAAGTCTTGAGCAAGCACTTACTATCGCTTCTTTCAGATATCAAATTAGAGAGTTCGCCGTGAAGGAAAAGCGAGGTGAGACTTAGCGTTAATCAGTTTCTGTATCGTGCATATGTTAATGTACATGGACATCGGCACGATTTTCTATTACATTAATTTACACTATTTTAATAATTCTCCCGTGTAGTTAAATAATGAATTACATTACTTATTGTAATGGATTACTAAATAAATAAATAATATTTATTTGATTGTTTACAAGTATGATTTGTTCACTATCCTTAATAAATATTTATTGTTAATATCATAATTCGTTGTTTCATTAAAGGCAATTGAAAGTATTAAAAATGTAATTATAATAAATGTAAACATAATAATTGAATTTTCATTTATATTATCTACCCGAAAGAGGTTTCAAACTTTCCATCGTGCGAAAATATTATTTTTTACGAAAATTACGCCTAATCAATCGAATAAAAAATCAGTTTCAATTGCAGTATGTAGTACAAGAAATATTAGTCTATAGAGCTATAGATTAGTCTACAGATGCATATATTCTTTTTATAAAACATTTATCATACCGATGTATTCTTTACCAAACCTTTTCAATTCAGATAAAATTTAATTATAAAATTTTTCATACTATACCTAATATAAATAGTTATCGAGTTTTTAAACATTTTTGAATTTTATGCTGATTCATTGATAAAATATATAAATTGAAACCAATACCTATACTTGCATGATATAATTACTTCAAATAAATATTTTATTATTTGAAGAATATTATCATCACAATAATAAAGATTCAAATTTTTCATACGTATACCCAATTTTAATGATTTTGTGATTAATATTATATTAATTATTAACTATTTTTCTTAAACAATTAGTCTGTATATTTTTTATGTGTTATTATATTATATGCATCATATTGTAATATATTATAGACACACACACACATACACGCGCGCGCACGCACACATACACAGATATATATATATAGTTTTTTTAATTATTTTTATAAAAATTTTATAAATGGTAATGCATAACATTTCATGATTCAATGTAGGTATAATCGAGATTTTTTATAAGTTACGTCAATAAATTTACGGATAATGAAATCGAGAGACAGACCTTCATGTATACACTATTCCTTATAATGAAAGATAGATTGCTTTTTTGTAGTATGAAACTTTTATCGATAAAATATTAACATATAATATACTCTTCAGTTTTATTACATGCTATGTAGATATTGTATTTGTAGATGTAGATAAAGAGCGTCTTAATTGTAGTTGTAATCATGACTACAAATCAACTGTGAATAGCCAATCACTAGGGGATTATCTTCTATAAATGCATTATGATGAGAAAGCAAAAATAAATGTACATTATTTTTAATCATTCATACACTGTTTATTAGAATAAAAGGAATATTTGCTATCTGTGAGATTTCGCTTTCTGTTTTTCTGCGTCATTTATAGAAACTTTTGTTATGCTTGCATCGTAAATTAGTAGTTATGAATAAATCGAAAACGAAAATTTATAAAAACCTTGATAGAAATTACAGAATACCATCTAATAACAAGTTATTTAATAAATACATTTAAAAATAATTTCTCACATTAAAGATATACAGAAAATAATAAAATATAACAGTTAATTACTCAGTAAGGTATGTGTAAATGAATAATACTAATGTATTTCTAATTAAATCTTATTTATTAAATTAAATCGCATATAAGCATTAAAAAAATTACTTAATAAACGCAAATAAATTTAGTTATCTAATTATATAATTAAAACATTTTTAGTTTAATAAAAAAAATTAAAAAATGCATAAATATTTACATTACAAATAAATTTGTCAAAAAATATAAAACTTACATACTTTCTGGTTTATTAAAAAAAAAGAATTCTAAATTATGTCAGATATTAAAAGCTTTATCAATTTAATTCGATATTATAAAACACTCGTCAACTCAAAGTGAAATAGACTGATATTTTCATATGGACCTGCATTATGTAAAATTTTTAATAATTTTAAACATATAGTAAAAATTTCTTGCAAAACTCTTATACTATTTTACATGGTAAAAAAATATAATATAAAAACTGTATCAATTTTCCTTATTATAATACAATGTGTTTGACTTAATTTTAAGTTTTAAATTTAATTCTATACATGAATTTTAATCTATAATATAGTTAGGATGTACAACTAGCATATGATCTTCATCTTCGCCTTCCAATTTTGCAGCATTCGTTGTTAACGGGATAATAATTTGATCATGATATATAAGTCTGTCAATGATTTTCTCTATCAAAGATTTTCGTTCTAATAATTCGGCTTCAGAATCAATTTGATCTTGTATTTTATCAAGATACCAAGCAACCAGTTCAGACTTTCTAATACCTTCTTTATTCTCACCTATATAATTTAGAAATATTAAATAAAAAAAATTACTTCTTAAATTCATATTTATTTAAATCGAATAATAAGTCATTTTATAATTTCATATTTTATGTAAATTATACTTCAAATTTGTAAATTGTCTATCTATCTAAAATCTTATATATCATTTAAAGATTGATAAGCACATTTTTAGAAATGATATAGTACTTTGAATATTAAGAATTTTATACATTATTGTGCATAAATTTGAATGTGTACTTTTAAGGCAGTTATACATTTAATTTATACAGACCTTCTCTTTCTATTCGAGCTTCTTCGCCTCTCATGTATATCGCCAACATATTAGTAAGATTTTTATATTCTTCATAAGACATTGACAGCTTTTTCTTTGACTGTGATGCCTGAGCATCATCAACGTGAGCTATAGAGATAATATTTATATTTATATTCATATTTATATTTTATTTATTTTATTTATATTTAAATTTATATTTAATTATTAATTTAAAAGAAACCTAAAAATTAACTAATTAATAAGATAATTATTGATTAATAAAATATTAATTAATTTATAAAATAATTTTATATTATATTATATTACAAATCTATTGCAATTTATTAATTGAAGATTAAAACTAATGAATTAAATCTAATTAAAACAAATGAAAAATACAATTAACTAAAAATGATTAATATATACATGTAATAAAAGCTAATTAATATATTGATTTAATTATTACATGAAAAAATTTAGAAACCTTACATGCATTATCACCATTATTATCCATTTTATTAAATGCTGCCATAAGTGGTGGAGCTTCATCTACGTCCATTTCATTGGCAGCTTCCATCCCTTCCTCAAGGTCGATATCTGGCTGTTCTACTCGAATTATACTTTTACTAAGCAAACGACGAGCCTCCTTCACATGCTTTTCAGTCACTTCATCCTGACATTCTAATTTCGCGAGTGCCTCTGATAATCGAACCAAACTCTCTAATTGTCTTACAGTCACTCTCCATGTAGATTTTGCGCCTCCTTGACTTTCTCTCTGACGTAGGTCAGTGTATGTTTTTATCAACAATTCTCCGGCTTTCTATTAAACATAAAATGCTTTTGAATAAATAACAAATAATAGCAAACAGTCACTCCAATTAATCATATTTCAACAATGATTTCATCATTTTAAAAATAAATGAATCGTATATTTACCTCATTTAGAATAGGCTTAAAGTGCCTTGCAAAATTTATGTATCGTAGAATTTCTGCTTGAGTGTAAACAGTCTCTATTGTAACAAAATTATTGCTGTGCAAATCAACTATCTTTTTAGCGATAGCATTGTCAATAATTTCATTGCATTCGTCTACTAAAATAAAAAAGAGATCAAATCTTGACATGATTGGAGCAGTCAACATAACATTTTGCTGTAAGGATTTTGATCTATCATAACGACCACCGATGGGATTAGCAGCTGCAAGAATTGATGTACGGGCATTTAAAGTTGCTCTTATACCAGCCTATCATAATAAAATATAAAATAATATTTTTTCAATCTATCTATGATATCATGATTTTAATAAAATATTAATTTTTTTAATTTATCACTTATTACCTACCTTAGCAAATGAAATAGTTTGTTGCTCCATAGCCTCGTGAATTGCGACTTGATCCTTTAGATCCATTTTATCAAATTCATCAATACAACAAATACCATTGTCAGCCAACATTAAAGCACCTGCTTCAATAACAAAATCAGATGATTCCTCATCTTTAACAACTGCGGCAGTTAAACCAGCTGCGGTAGATGCCTTTCCTGACGTGTAAATAGCTCTTGGAGATATTTCAACAACCTGCTTAAGCAATTGGGACTTTGCGGTACTAGGATCACCAACGATGCAAATATTAATATCACCACGTAGTGTAGTTCCTTCAGTTGTATTTTTGGCTACTCCACTGAATAACATCAATACCACTCCTTTCTTTACTTCATCATTGCCATGTATGGAAGGGAATAAGCTCGAAACTAAGTTTTGATAGAGATTTTTATCTTTACTCATGTCATAAATTTTATTCCACTCATCAGTTGTCATTTGCTTCTTCATTGTTTCTTGTGAAATCTCATCTAATGCCATTTCTGTACCTCCAAACTATTTAAAAATTTTTAATAAAAATAATTATACAATATAAATTAAATATGTAATAGAAAACTGCTTATATTATTCAAAAGAAAAATAGTTAAAACAGTAAAATATAAAATTTACAAAAATATTGAGTATTATTTTTACCCTTAAACTAGTTGGTGTAATACTACATCCAAGAAATGCCATTTTATAATTAAGATCCCTAACTCCAAGAGCTTTTAACCCCCTAATACCATCAGCTTGATCACCTTTTTTATGCCTCGAACCTAGTTCAGCTTTTGCCCCAGGCATTGAAAGTACTCCAACATCAGGTACCACAATTAATGTTCCAGTAAAATCGTATCTATGAATAATTAGTCATTACATTATACATTTTACGTCGAATAAATTTCGTATTGAAATTATTTTATAAAGATTTGTACCGATCACCAGCTTGAACAGTTTCAACAGATTCTGCTCTTAAGATAATTTCGAGAGAACGAGGGATACATCCACGTGGTAATTCTTCCTGAGTTTCTTGAATTCTAACTTTTTGAAAGTCAACAAATACTGAGTGATCTAAATCTAGTAAAAATCTTCGTCTATTACTACAAACTGGATTGATACAAATTGTTGGATTTGTAAACTAAAACATATAATATTGTTAAAATAAAAATTAAAACAAATTAAAAAATATCTATAAGAGTGATTAAACAAAAAACTCTTCAAGAAAATTTATAAATGAAAACACATGTTTATAAATATTGAAATCTAAAAAATTCATTATTAATATTTATTATATTTTCCAATTATACATTTGAAAATTATGAATAATTCTAGTATATTTTTAAGAAATTATAAAGGAGAAAAATTAATCACTGTGACTGAATATTATATATAGTTTTCATATTATTAATTTTTAAATATCTTACTTTGAATTGCTGCTCAACATTTTTAATTAGAATATTACAATCAAGACACAAAAATGCTCCAAGTACTAATTCTGGATGAACGGGATGAGTTCTGATTACTTGACCTGAAATACGAATTAAGGTTCCTATTTTTGCAGTTGTAAGTTCTCTAAGTTTGTGTCTCGTTGGTACATCAGTCAAACTAATATAACATTCTTTTTCTTTTGTCAAGCCACCATGATCTGTTACAAAATTGCAAATAGCTTGACATAAATAAGGATAAATTCTGTAAATTGAAAATAAAGGTATTTTAAATTTTATAAATTATTATTACATTCTAATAGAAATGATAAATATAAATACAAATTGATAGTATTGTAATATGAAAGATAAAAATAAATAGAGATAGATAATATAGTGCAGTCGAAATGGTATTCTAATTTTTAAAAGAATAATGAATCACATTTGGTATTAGTTTTACAAATAAAATTTACTTTTACATAATGTAAAATAACAATATTTACAAAAAAAAATATTTTCCCAACAGATTACTTAATATTTAGCTTAATTTAATTTTCTACCATTATGACTTAATTAAACTGTAATGTTTTTATTAAGACGCTTTTAAAAAACATAATATATAAAAAAAGAATTTTTAATATTATTTTAATATATTATAAAATATTTATTGATTCTTATTAAAAATTAAAAGAACATTTTAAATAAATTATTCTGTAAATTTTTAAACTACAAATAATTTCTTTGTGATACAATATTGATTGATTTATAAATGAAACATTAGATAATAATACTAATAAATAAGAAACTGTGATTAAATATAGAATTTTTTTTTTTCTTTACTAAAGATATTTCAATATCTATGGTATATAATAACCATTTTTGATTATTAAAAGAATACTTATTACATCAATTGAAAATGTCATATAATATTAAAAAAATATATTTATATAATATATTTATTCATATAGTAATATAACTATGTACCTATAATATTCTTCTATTATAGTTGTGGATAAAACTTGATTGTACTTTTCAATATCTTCAAAAGACACTTCCAATGTGCTACGCTCCGGACTCACAAGTTCTTTAGCTGGCTCCAGATATTTTACCTCACCTTCTTCTTTAAATCTAAAATTAAAAATGAATTGCATTTATATCAATTCTAATTTATCAATGAATTTAATAATAACATTTATTTCACTAGCAAGAAAAAGAATTTAATATATATATATATGAATAATAACAATATTAACTAACTCTTCGAGGAAATTTTGAAATAATTTTTGGGTTTGTATTCCGATATCATCACGAACTTTTAATTGTCGAGCAGGTACATCGCCTAAATCCATATTTAACGGTAAATTATTAATTTAATAAAACACGAATAAATTAAAATCAAATCACAACAATACAAATCACCGAACGGATTAGTTTGGCGGGAAAAATCGATCTATAATGTTCACTCCGGTGCTACGTAAACGCACTCTGCAGTCCACAAATTGAATTAATTTTCAAAATGGATAGAATTCGGCACGCCTACTTACAAAGCTATGATGATCATTGGTCGTCATCTATGTGGGAGATTCAAGTCGTTCCAATATCAGTTTTCTCCTTATTTATGTATTTTTATAACTGCCATTAATTTTTTTCTAAGAACCTATCAAAAAAATTAAAATATAAATGTGTGTATAATGGAACGTAAAAAAATAAAAAATAAAGTAAACTTTAAACCTAATTGAAAAAATTAACAGCAACTATTACTGCAATCTTTATTATCCTAGTAAATTATTTTTATTACCCTATAAAAAAACTACATCGTGTGATATAAACTTATTCGAGCTATTGCTATAATACATATGAATAAAATTTCAATTGAAATTAACGTTAAAAGATTAAATGAAAAAAAAAATTTTGCAAAAAAAATATTTATTTGTTTAAAAATAGAAATGTATAAATAAAATGACTGAAAAATCTAATTATCTTATGATCTTCTGTTCAATTATATGATATATCAAAATATATGATATTGTTTATATGATATATAAATATTTATTAGATCATTTTAAGTAAGTTTAGCATATAATTTATTATTACTGTAAGTAATTTATTAATTAAAATTAGTATTTAGCAGTACATTATTGGCATATTTAACATTCTTTATTATCAAATACAAGTTATTATTGTTCGAATTCATAAGAAATAAAAGCATGCTTCATAAATAAATGCATTTAAATATTATTGAAATATAATTATTAGAATTTTAAATCTAATGCATTTAAATATATATACAATCATTAATAAACTGCTAACCCACTCTATCCGAAGTAAAAAATTATGGTTAAATATTGGATTTCACTTTTTATCGAAATAATAACATTAAGATAATTTTAATTAACTGTCATTATTTCACTATTTGCCAGTTTAATCAAACTTATAATATATTATTAACTTGATGATTCATCAAATGCTTATTAAAAATTCGCATTTAATAAAGTTATTTATTAAAATATTTTAACTATATATTGTATGACTGATTAATATAATATTAATATAATTATAAAAAAGATAAGTAAGATTTCCTTTCAGTCACTTATTTAATGATATTCGTAACAAGACATTATATATAAAAAATAAATGTATTTAAATATTTTATATGGAATTAAATTAATATCTAACTTTACAGTGTACGATACTATAGCATACAATACTACATGAAAATAAATTAATTATTATATATTAATTTTTATTTGATTTTAATTTTAAGTAATACATGAAAATTCATTATAAATATCAATTATGATATACTTTTCAATAGGTTGTTTATTTTTATATGGATATTCTATGTAAAATGGAAAAAAATGTTGTAGTGTAATGATTTAAAAAATGTTAAACAATTATAATTAGAATTAATTTTTGAATATTATTTATTTTCATTAATGTATTAATAGGCGATTACATTACATACATTACATAAATAAGATTAATTAATGTCATTTATTAATATATACTTTATATGTTTATATATATTTATAATGAAAACTGCCGAAGAAGACTAAAGTAAATAAATACAATTTTTTACTTGTCATTACAAAATGCATTATTTATTATTATAAATAGTTACTATGATTACAAAATAGATTTAATATAAATTGGAGTGAAGATAAAAAAGTTATTTTGTATCTGCACCAAAAAACATAAAAGCTAATTTTTGAAGAGCCATCATGTTTAATATAAAAATTCGTGAAAATAAAAATAATTGTTTTTTTTTGCTTAATTACTTGATAATTTAAACAGAATATTTGAGTCTTTCGTAAATTGCACTTTATAATATAGCGATCAGTGCAATGCCATTAAAGAATCATTAGATTTCTGACTGTACAATACGGATTGACGTCTGTCCTATCGAAAAACAAAGTTGAAAACTTTTTAACTCTACATAGCATAAATTAATTTATGTTTATATAGCAGATAGAAATTCTTGAAAGTTGATCATGATCAGCCAATGCAAATTTGCATCGTAGATACGGATGTAAATTTTAGACTTTAATCATTGTTGACAAAATATGCGTCGATATATCTAGTTCAAGACTGGGTAGTTTATTTAATTGCTTATGCTTATGTATTTATTTATAATATATTAATTACAAATGTTATGTCGATATATTATGTACAATATCGAGAAATATTATAAAATAATATGGCAATACGATAAACATCGCAAGAAGAGGTAATAACAAATGACGTATAAAAACCAATTCTTTTCTTGTCGTAAAACAGTAAATATATTGTTTTAGATGCATTTTCGAATTACGCTATGATTATATGTATGCATGTATAGTTTTTTCTCTCTTTTGAAAGAGCAGCGATTAAAGCATAAAAATAAAATTGAAAAATAAATGAATATAAATTTATATTTACAAGATCCAATTTAAATCATCTATTTATTTATTATTATATACATAGAATTACTACCTAATAGTTGGTCGTTTTGTTATCTTATTTTTCGTCATAATCGAAATTTTTATATTACTTGCATGCCTTATCAGTCACAAAAAGAAGTTTTTTAATTTTATTGTAATTCTATTTCATACAAAGAAAAATTCTATACCTTAACCAAGGCCATCGAATCTCCCTTCAATTCTTTGACATAATTTTCGATTTTATAACGTGTGATGTTAAGCTGTAGTTTTTTTAATGTTGTACTAATGTTTTCTATAATGTTTCTTTCCTTACAAAAAAATTCGATTCATCATTAACCATAATCACCAATCTTACAATTGTTCATTCAGATCAGGTTTATATGTATATATATATATATATAAATTTGAATCATTTAAAAATTTAAATCATTTGCTAACAAGAATATGTATTTAAAATTTCACTAGAAACAAAAATATAGCCAGTTCGCGTAACATTTTGAGCAATAATGCAAATACAATAAAAGTTATATATAAAATCTTATTATATTCGTTCGTTCATTTACACGTTCATTTTATTAGTTAACTTATTGAGCAAGTATATAACGTATAAAACTCTATTGATTATTGTTTTAAGATTTTAAATTTAGTGTAGATTAATTAAATTTTTATTCTGCGATTTATTTGCATATAATACAATGAAACAGACCGTAACTAATATAACTTATGTCTCAAATACTGTGATTTAAAATATTTATTATACTGAACATTAATAGATTTCGACGAAATTTAACAAAATTCATAGACTTGGTTTGCGTACAAAAATGTTTCTATATATTTTTACTATTACCCAAGATTGATGCATGGCACTAAATTTTTTTTGCCAAATCTATTCCTATAGTAGTTTGTATACAAAATAATCAGAAAGAAAAAATTTACGAAATTACAATTCTGCATTTGAATGAATTATCCTTGATGATATCATCGAGAATCTTAAAGTAATTTGATACAGAGTTATTGGATTACCGATAAAGTTAAATTAGTGGTGTATAAAATATCTTTCAATTACTGATAAATTTCGTGTAGTTGTAAAAGTATATTGTATGATTATAGATGTCGACAGATTATAAAAAATACACTAAATATTATTGTATTAAGCAACAATTTTTATTTTATTCTGAAAAAACTTATAAAAAATTTTTCTAACTTTTGACAGAAAAACTTTAACTATATATTTTATTTATATTTAATCAGGTAAGCATAGATAATAGTATATTAAATTTTGGATTCCATACTCAAATTGATATTCATTACTCGTTTTTCTTTATGAAGAGTATTTTTATTACTTATTGAATTTAATTCTCAAAAATGTTAATACTTTATAATACGAAAACTAGATTCTTTTATAACTACAGTTGCTAGTTTTGTTGAGATTTGTACGTTTTATCATGAAATATTTATTCGTCACCTTATCACAGTCACTAAAACATTCAACGTTATTCTTTAATTTCATTGATTGTATTAATTTAATTATTAGAATACTAGTGTAATAAAAGGCCATTTTTAATAGCATATGTAATTAGACTAGGTTATCAAATATTTTATAGACTACTTTGAATTTGGTGAAATATAAAGAAATTATCAATATCATTTGAAATTTGACTGGTAAGAATAATCATTATAAGAGACGTGAAAGACCTTTTAAAATTTTCAATCATTTGATTTTATTTTCAATATTCTGAAATAATTTATTATATATTCAAGTCATTTTTTTGATTGGATAATCAGGTAATAAAGAATTTTATTACGTGTTATACAATCTTCCATTCGTTTTAAATAGCCCATCATTGCATTTTCCAATTTTTGTCAATGAATTTAATTTAGAATTTTTTATAACTTCATTGTAATACTATCCCAGATTGGAATATATTAAACACAAATGCAAGCTCGCTGCATTAGATATAATTAAAAAAAAATATAAAATAATATAACCATGAGGAGCAAATCGGACGAATTAGCTGACGAACCCTTTCTTCGATGTAAAATTAACATAAGAATAAATTTAACATCAATTAATGAAATACAATTTTAAAAATTCGCCGATAATATTTGCATTTTACATTTTGTTCTTCTGTACACAAGCAATATATTTACAGAGTATTCTGCGGATCTGCATTCGTAAGTAAAAAAATTGCACAACCACTAATTATTCCCCAGGTTGAGGAACTTAGAGCAAAAGTAGCAAAAATCTGAAATCAATAATGAAACATGTATTTGGTTATATTATAAGTAATTTTATAAATAAAATAATAAATTAATTTTACATTTACGGCATTTTTAATTTGATGAATCCAAATTGATCTAAAAAAATAATTAAAATTGACTTTTGAATAACAAATCACATGATGACTTTTAAACCTGTCACATTGACATTGAAAACATCTTAAGGATTTCTGTAATTTAAATTATGCAATCATTTATTAATTGTTTCGGAATATAACACTTTAATTTATATATACTTTATATATTTTACATATATTTTTTTATAATTTTACGTTTAAATTTCATACATAAACATATACAGTTATAAATTTTCTACACTTTAGTTTATATATAATCATAGAAAATTTGATATAAATTTTTAATACATTATTTACTGATTTAATAATTGGGCACTTATTGGATATTATTTGTATAAAAAATACAAATTATTTATTATTTTTATAAACATTTAAATAAGAAAAAAAGTGAAAATATGAATAACTTTTCATATAAGTTAACATTTATTTACTATATATTTTAAAATTATAAAATTATTATGAAAGATAATAATCAAACAATTAAATTATTATGAAGTAAACTTTGTATTATATCTTAAATCTGGAAAGTATAAGTAACAATTTTAAATATTATAGTAAGTTTTAATTGCTAATTTTTAAATATTATAGTAAAATAAGACGTAAGAAATATTATTCTCTAAATTTATTAAAAGCTCAAACTGAATGATAAAATAATTTTCTATATAAAGCCATGTATTTTATATAACTATTTTAATTAAATACATTAATGAAAATTTTTTATATTATTTTTTTATATAATTTTTATATTAATGTATATTTTTTATAATTGCTTAACAAAATAGTGAATTAATTATTAAATATTAAGATTAGTATATTAACAAATTATTCTAGTTATATTATAACCAATATTTTAATCACAGAAATGTATAATTTTCTATTACAGTTATTTTAATTTCATGAAAACAGAGATATATTCATCGTCATTCTATCGCAATTAATTGTAATTTGTTTAAAAATTTACAAAAATTGACTATGTATCATTGCTTGTACATTGAAATTGGCATGGAGCAATTGTATTAGTAAATTTAATTGAAATGTGTTATTGCATAGTCTAATATGAGATATTAAATACAAGAAATTTAAAGTTATACCAACGAACAATTGTTTACTACTAAATTTTAAACCGCAAAAGTAATAACTTGATTTAGTTTGAGAATTAAAAAAAAATTTTAATATTACGAGTTTTCATTTTCATAGAATATTTATTTTATACTCATTATAACCAATGAAATTTATAAATTGTTAACTTTTTATGCAAATAAAAAATTATAATGGATTTTATTTTAAACACGCATATATCACATATAAACAAATATGCATACTAAGTTTTATTACATAAATTTCTGTTATATCTATTTTTATAGTAGTATGTAGTATCTATTTTTATTATCAATATGAATGTTCAGAAATACTGAAAATAAAATCAATGATATTTCTTTAATTAAAGAATTCTATTTATAAAATAAAACAATTAACATTGCCAAATAATAATTTTAATACGTTTTCTTAAATGATAGTCATTTTAATATTTTAGCTATTGTAAATAAACATTATAAGTATTTACTATTTTATTATTTATGATTGGCAAGAAATATTAATAAATTAAGATACTCAATAACAAAATTAATAATAATTTCGTAATATAATTTTAAGTTTTAATAGAGTTATTTCATAATTTATAAACCAATTATAAATAGTTATAAATAGTAAAGAATACTTAGTAGTTATGCTTATTTGATATTATACATAAGCGGATATATGATGGTTCATTATACAACTGTAAGGCCTAGTTTGTGAACATGCACAGGCAGATATGAAATGTGAGCTTCATTAATGTGAACGAATACACCTTTGTTACGACGTAATTACTCCTACTGTTTATAGATTAGAAGTTTAAAGAATTTTATCTACAACTATTTAAGAATGTCTTTTATGAAAATAATTTACAAACTTGTTTAGATATACATTCGTTTTAATGATATATTAATGGACGTTAAATGATTCTAAAAGAAATACAGATAAAATATAATAATTATTCAAATATTATAATATTCATGCATTTAAACTGCATATTTAAAAATGTATTCATGTATTTTATAATAGACAAAAATTTTATATTGAAACTGAAGGTTAAAAAATATTACGTAACTTGTGTGTGTAAAAAATAAAGTATATAAATATTATTATTCTATATAAATAATATTCGAATGATTATTAAGAACGTTTATTAACAAAGTAAAATTTATATAATTTTTTACCTATTTATGATATTTATTAATTGTCAGAGAAATATAACTAAACTTTTTAACCTATCAATAAATTCATTTTTGTAATGGATGCAAAAAGATGTTTCTGAACTTGAATTATTTGAAAATGATCGATTATCTTAAACTAATTATTTTAATCTACATTTAATATTCATTCATTGAAGTGTAATAATAAAATTTTGAAATATATATGATTTACATTTATAATGTTGCAAACTGAATATAATGATGAATAAAAACTAATCCTGATGATATAGATTAGGTTTATATTATTTCTTGTCTTTTTCCAAGAAAATTTATCATTAAATATTTTAATTTCTTTTCTCTTTCCTATTAACATTAAATATTTCAATAAGTTATTAAAATATTTGAAGCGTTTTTCATTTTATGATATAAATAAAGAAAGATTAATTAAAATTTCTTTAATATAATTTAGTATTGAATATATATTATTGAAAATCTTTCACTTTTATTATTTTATTTTCAATATTTTCTATTGTAAAACATTAAAAATTACTAATTTATTAAATTAAAAAAATTAAAAAGAAATAATTAAAAAAATCACCCATATTAACACTATTCGTTCTATTAATAGAGCACCAACAACTCTTAACGATTTGAAGATAATTAATAGTTGAATAATATTCTCTGGTAATTTGGTTAGATAATAGTTCAAATAAGATAATAGTTCCAAACTTTCAACACAACATAATATCTTCGTTATTCAGTGAAACAATCACTAGTTATATTTATAGTTCAGGATTTATTCAGGATCATTTAGGATCTATTCTAGAAATATTTTAAACACAAAAATCGTATGTCTGGAATTATTAAAGTATTGAGATAGAAAATGGTTGATTACGTGTTTTTCAAAAGTTTTAATTTATCTTGATAGTATCTACATATAAACATTTATAAAAATAGTTTTCTGTATATTTTATTTGATATTTGATATAAATTTTATTTTTGGTTTAATATATTATAAAAATGTCTATATTAATAATTTAAGTTTAGAGGTTACTTGGTTAATATAACGTTTTTTATCATTATCTATTGCTTTTTTAATATGCATTGCATGTATCTTGTATAATTTTATATTGTTTATAATTTAAATTTGAAGGCGCTATTTATAAAGGCAAAGTGTTGATATTTTTAATATGAATTATGAATGATATTTTAAATATTTTATAAATTGAAATATTTTCATTTTTGTCTATGCTTTCAATGTTTTCTTCGAACGGGTGATTTAAAGAACTACATTCTTAAACGACACATTTCTACAATATTTAAGTAAATATTTTTATAATATAAATATTAATATTATAAGTATTAATAGAATAATATAAATATTATAAAAATATAAATATTAAGTAAAAATTTATTTTATTGATTATTAATTTTTTTTGGAAAACAAAATTATTTGAAATTCAATATATTATCTAGGCAGTATACTGATTTTAATAATATATATTTTTAATATAACTTACTGGCTATCTATTAAAAATTACATTAAATCTTAAAAAATATTTAATCATTAAAGATTTGCTGTTAATATGTGTAAAAAACATTAGAAAATTATTCAAATGTAAAAAGCATTGAGATAACAGATTAATCATAATATAATATATATATATATATATATATAATTACATTCATTGAGAATGTAATTTAAGGTAGTTGTATTTCAATATTAAATACATATATAACAATTATGTATTATATAACTATATAAAGGAACGAAAATAAAGCACTTGACGACAATTTTAGATGTTTTATAATGCACAAAGTAAATAGAAGTCAGATAAACGGAAGTTTATATAGATATATCTAACTTTAGCTTTAAACTTAATTAAAATTATTGATTTAATTTTACTTTTATGTAAAAAATATCGTTATTGTTTATGATATATAGACAAATTGTAAACATATAGCATTACATTCGTTTACCTTAATAAAAAGAGCGCTTACGAAATAATAGATAAATATCGCTATATATTACAATACATTTTCTAACTGTTTTTAAAATGCTTATAGAAAGTAAATTAAAATAATATAATAATTAAACGATAAGTTACCTCATGTTTAGATTGTTCCCTCTGTAGGTCTCTGAAATATAATGAACTTTTTACATCTCCTTTTTCAAATACGTTGTTATTGTTTTTGTTCTTAGTGTTTGTAACGTTGGTATTATTATTGTCTTTAAACATTATCCGATCAAAGTGCGATTTCGCCATCTCGTTCAGACGAAAATTCGTCGTACCGAAAAATGGCATGACATCAAACACATGAAAAAGTACGACATGTGCAGCATAGATTGCCAGCAAACAAAGAAAACTGCTGTCCTGGCTTCTGGTCATGCGTTGGATCATATCCCGACCGTGTCTGCGCACCATTTCACATTAACAATTTTAAATTGCTATTATTACCAAAGTAATAGAATCGATGAATTTAAGAATCAGCAGCTCGTGTACTATGTTATATACTTATACATATATATATTTTTTTTTAATGAACATTGACTGCTTATATAATAGTATTGAAAAAAATAACGAGATGTTACTTTACAATATTACCATTACGAATTCTTACAAAAAATAAAAGAAAACGCCTTATCATTTAAAAATATAAAAATTAATTAAAAATTCAGCATGTGCTATATATTTTAACATTCATTATGCATGATACTATTGCAGAAACTAATATACTATCTTCATCAAATACATTTGAATTTTTTTTTAATTATTATTTTTTAATTAGTATTTTAACAATACTAATAATAAATTGGAATATAATGTGTACAACTAACACTGCAAGGTATGCAATGTTCGATGCAGCACCTACGATTTTCGATCGCAACAGTTAGTGTTAAATGGTACTAAGCAATATGGTTAAACTAGAATAAACATTATAAGTAGTGAATTTAGGTGTAGCAATGGAATTTAATCGAGATGAGGACGTGTCTCATGATTAAATGTGTTAATGCTTTATACGAAACTGTTATATATTTCTTTTGTATAATTTTATGCACAACTATACAAAATATTTAGAAATAGGGCAATCATAATTCTCCCTACCCACAATAATATTACAATTATAGTATAATTTTCAGGAAAAATGGGCAATTCGAATCTAGTTCAATCTAGTTAGTATGTATTATATAATTATTGTAGAATAAAAAAATAATATCGAAATACTTCTATATTTGATTACTTTATAACATTATTTAAAGATATTTAATAATAAATTTGATTTTAACGATTAATTTAAAAACTAGTTTTAATTCTAAATGTACTATATTAAATTGTTTTAATTTTCATTTTTGGTACAGAATAAATAAAATTTTAAATTTAATTATGTAACATACCTTAAAATATTAAATAGTATATTTAATTTATAGTATCACATGCATTGTACATATCTTATATATCATAAGGAGATACCCATTTTTTGTCATAAGTAAATTAAGAATATTATAATAAACAATATAAAAATAATTTTATAATGAATAATCAATAGCCAAATTAGATTTTCTTATAGATCTTTTTTTTCATTGAAATATTGAAATATCGTTCTAAATATTGTTATATTTATAAATAAATTTCAATAAATATTAGAAATAAATAAATATTTAAAATAATTTATTTAATTTATTCGTTTATACGATATTTATGTACGAAAGGTTACTATCATTGATAATTAATTAATTAAGTAATAATATAAAAGTTATAATTATTAAGTTGGTTGGTTAATTAAAAGTTTATATTACCAATATCTAATAAATAATGGTAAAGTATGAATATACATATAAAAATACATTAAATATATTACATATATTTAAAAGAAGAAATTTTCAATAATTTGTTCAATAATGATAACAATTTATTATTTAATTTTCAATGGATTTAATGTGAACTCATACTATAAAATATATTGACATCACTACAAATTAGTAATTAATATTGAACTTTAGATATAGGAATCGAAATTTTGTAAATGTAAAAAAACATGAATTATTTGTGTTTGAAATGATACTTATACTAATTATAGTTATTATTTTTATTTGATACTATACATATAGTTATTTATAATATAGGAAAAAATTGTTTATAAATATATTTTTTGGTTAATACTTAACTTAATTGGTTAATTTTTAAAAATTGCAATTTATAACATAATGTTTTAATTATATTTAAATATGTCTAAACAACATAATTAATTTATCAACCGTTAAATTAATAAAATTATATATATTGTAACGATATATATTTAAAGATGTAATAATGTTACGTAATATTTTCATATTATGCACAAAAATAATTTAAATTATTTTAGCGAAATACGATAAAAACAACCAATATAGATATGAAATTACTAAGTTGAATTGTATCATTCTTAGCAATGCCTGAATTAATATATTAAACATTTTTATAAAATTTTGTAATGAATACAAGGTTATTAATATGACTAAAATTTTATTAAATATTAAAAAAAAAAAAATCAAGAAAATTGTTTAGAATATAAATTGCTACAAATGACACTGTTAAAAAATTCCATTAAAAATTTAATTCTAAAGATTATTCACTTTTTTCTTTTCTACCTTTTATTATACCCTATTATATCATTATTTATTTGAATAAAACACCCTTTCATAATATATTGTAATCTTATAAATTATATTTATATTATTTCTCGTAAATTTATAAAATAAATTAATTCTTTTCATTGTACCTTTATTTATATATGATAAACCTTAATATTATCATAAGAGTCATTTAATGTTACCGTCACTTTCAGTTCAAACATATCTTATATCTATTTTATTTTTGTAAATACCGAAGTCTGATTTACTCTACAAAATAAAATGCAAATATTTAATTTTTCATATGTTTATTCGAACTCGCCATAGAAATTTTATTTAGACAGTATATTATAACCTTATATTTATAATACTTATTTACAGATAAGTAAAATTTTAGTTTTATTATTTATTTAGATCACAGTATATTATCAAAATTTCTATATATCATAGTAGCGATCCGATCTATGCTATTTGTAGGTTAAAGAGATAAGCTAATCACTTTGATTAATATTGATTTATCTAATATAACTTTTAAAAAGTTATTTTTATTATAAAATAATTTTTTATTAATCAACAAATCATTTATTAATCATTAATTCATTCCTTATATAATAATATCATTTCTATCTTATAAGATGTGTTAAATACTACTTATTATCTTTGAGGATATTTTTACATATATGAATCAATCACGTGTTATTTAATAAGTAATCGAATATATTTTTAAGTATAATTGAAGTTAAAATATATATGAAAAACAAAATTAGAATAATATATTTTCTATTCTATCGTTTCCTAATGTCGTAACATTTTAAACTAAATTTTTGTAATAAATTTAGTGTACATATATACATGCATAAAGTAGCAAAATAAAGTATTCTATGATCGAAGGAAAAATATAATTTATTCAGTGGTTTTTCAAGATTTTGTAATAATTTTTACATTTAAAGAATGAATAGCCATTAACTCATATACTAACAAATTATTCATAAAAATAGTAAATAATTTTTTAAAAAGATTTTTATAGTTTATATAATATTAGTCTCTAATTTAAAGTTACTATTATTTATTAAATATTAGAAGTTATGATTAAATAGTATTCAAGATTCATATGCATCATACATATATCTTAATGAGTAGAAGAAAGCACTTTTCTTTACTTTTTAATCATCTTCGAATACAATATAAACGAAATGTAAAATAAATATAAGCTCAAAATATAATTAATTATATTATGTAATAATTAAATATATAATATAATAATTAATACAATAAGTATGATAACAACTAAAATTGTTTGAACGAATACAAATATTAAATTGTTGTATTATAAAAAGTGCAAAGGCTTTTGTTAATTGTAATATACTGTTTTTTTTTCAATAAACGCTGAATAATGAAAAGATTTATATAATAAATATATCAAATATAAAGTTCAACATAATAGAAAATTTCTTATTGTTTTTGTACACAGCACATTTCAATTCACAAACCCATTTCATTCGTAAATTGCAACGCCTCGACGTTGTACTTTAAAATTCATGGAATCGCAAGTTTACACGTAATTTTTTTAGCACACACATATAGTGATTTTCTGTTAACTTACATAAAATATAAATTATTCATAATCACCGTTTCTCATGATGACTAAGAGTAATTTTATAATTGCACTTAAATGTTTGAAAAAAGGTGGCGCTCGTGGAAGAGCGAGAAGCGATATCAACTGGCCGACAACAACATGGATTTGTCACTGATTGTAAGTGAAACTCTTCCTCACGTTCACACCTCTGCTATATAGTATAAAATACCGCTCAGCAAGATAAAGTTTTTAACAGAACGAGTCAATGCGTTTAGTAACGTCATTGCACCGGCGTGATACTTTATTTCGCACAGTATCTCGTTTACTAATTAAAATTTCTCAAGGCACAGTTTTTATTACTTTTTTAAAAAGCACTTGTCAATGCACTCTTGTTGTTTCTCTTTAAGCCAATCCTAAATTTGATTTATCTGTAGTTTTCTACAGCCTATATTATACATATATAACACTACAATTAGGCTCAGAAAAATAAGAATATTTTTAAAAAATAATATATAATTCATTATTTATTGATCCAATAAGTATCTTTTATAAATCATTGGGCTTCATGATGTTTTGTGCCCAAAATTTGTTTTATAATTTTACATTAACATATTATTCATTGATTGCAATTGTTATAGGAATTCCAAATAAGACTGAATTTATAATTATATACTTAATAGAATTGGCAAAATATATTCTACAAAATTATTTATTTATACACAAATTATATTATTTTTTATTCTAATGGGAGCATGTAATAATATATTTTCTCAAATGTATTATAAATTATTGCAAATATTGAAACTTGTTTTTAATGTAATTATTGTATAATTATAGCATACTTTACAGTAAAATAATTAATTAGAATACATCGTTATTTGAGTAGAATATGGAAAGAGAAGTTATTTTATTCTATAATATTTATTGTTTTATGTAAAATTTTTGATAACTTAAGCATTATGTAGTCAAACACATTAATATTTATAAATAGGAAGTTGGTGAATAAGGTAAAGAAAGTAAGCTTCCAATCAATATCAAAAATTAATTTTGAATATATTTCTATTTATTTATTTTTTTTTTTTAATACAGTGAAGAATTACATTTTTATTTTTGATAAAGTCTTCGACTGATTTCACCCAAATCCAATCGAAGTGAAACCAAGAAAACTTCATCCAATAACTGATAGAACTAAAAAAACTCCATTTTAGATCTGTTGCTTCTCCCACATATTGCCAATCTTTCTCATACTTATTTTTATTTATTCTTCATATGCTTTAGGGAACCTTGTTAAAAAAAACACGAAATATACAATAATACAAAATGTATTTTTATTTATGACATTCGATAATTATAACTTAAAATACACTACTTCTATACATACCAACTTATTTTTAATCAAATGTTAAAATATATAATAGAAAATTAATTATTCCAGAAAATAGCAATATTATAAACTAACAATAAATATTACAATGCAATATATTTTATTCGAATGGATTATTATAATCATTCAAAATACACATGAGTTTTTATTCGTTTTAAATTAAGGTTTGTAAACATTTATATTTAAATTTTAAATGAAAAAAATATAATAAAAATATATGGCTTTTTATAAATAATAAATTTCAATTTGTAGCAAATTTCCGATAAACTATAATAAAAAAAAATTTTTTTCGTTATATCAATGAAAATTTCTGACAAATATCTTATGAAATATTCTAAAACATAAAGATTATTAAACAAAACTTATTTAAAAGCCAAATTAAAGATAAGATTATTAGAAACTATTAGAGACTATTTTTATCTATTTTAAATAGCGCGCCAAAAATAGTGCTTCAACGGTGTAATTTACTTGTTTTTCTTCTATTTCTTCTATTTTCCACCATAGGTTTTCTTAACTACCTCATATACATTCATGCATTTTTTCATACAATTTTTGCTCAAACCTAGCACGTGGACATCAAATAAATAATTTAAAAACTGGTTTATATAGAAATTACCTAATAGATATTGATATTTTATTTCTGACACCGCCTTCAAGTAAGTGTAAAATATAAATATTCAATAATTTTTTTACAATCTTAAATAAAACGAAGTTATAATTTTTTGAATAATTATAATTTTACATAATTTTAGTATTCATTTATAAATTTTGACTAATTATAAACATAAGAGTAAAACTAGAATAAATATTAAATAATTTATTATAATTTTGTATTGAGTTTTATTGAAAGCGAAATGCAACAAAATTAATATTTTTAATAAAAAAATTACGAATCTTTTTACTTTTTACTTTATAATTATATAAAAATTTATATAATTTAAAAATGATTAAAATAATTCTTTAAAATTGGCTATAAATTAGCTGCGTAAAATTTTATTTTTGCAATTGACTTAATATGATGATAATGAGATTCATACTGACTAGGTTATTTGAAATCCGACTATCAAGCCTTAAAGTGTATTATAAGAGATAAAATACTAATAAGAAGAATTTTTATTCTATATGTTTCCATACTAAAGATCTAATTCTATTGAAAACATAGTTATTAAAAATTTCATAAATGAAAATAATGCTGTCATATCTAGCTGTAATTTTATTGTAGAACTAATCTAGGCTTATGCAGTAGCTCCTAGTGTCTTGTAGTGTTTTCAATCTGAAAAAAGGTCAATTTGTTGAAGACAAAATATTTTTTCCTACAGATTGTATTCTGCGTATACTTATTACACGTACTTATCTTATATCTTAGCTGTATAAATATTTAAACAACAATTTATTGCCAAATAGTATTAAGATAGTAGTAATGTTCATTTACCTGTAATAATGATGATTTAGTATATATAAGTATAAATAAGTAGATGCTCTTTTAATCAATAAATATAATAGTATATTATTGTTTATTTTTAAATATAAAATAAATTATTTCTAATCAGTCATTTTTATTTGGCAAGCCTGACTTTTTGTTTAAATTGTTTTTATGAGGCCCTTTCAATTTTTGAAAATGCCGAAGTCAAAATATCATACAAGCATTAATATATTGTTTTATTTGTTTTCTTCTCTATTATATACTATATATTATTTTATTATTTACACTATTACAATATTATTATTAAATTTTTTACTTATAATTATGTGCTATTGGCATAAATGTGTATAAAAGAATATAATATACACATATAGCAGAATTAAGCAGTAATTGGTAATTTTGTGCATTTATAAACAGTATCTTACGCTTCAAATAAAAAATAAATAATTATTTAATTACATACATACGAATCTATATCAGTAAATATTAAATGTATGAATACATTTTTTGCTTTTAACGAACACATCTGAAGAGGTTTTCATTATAATAATAGATGAAATTATTGAAAATCAATATTTATTACTAAAAGATGCAAAAGCTATTATTGAATTAAATTATTTATGACTATAGTAAGTCAATTCATTTTTTCACGGGTGATTCAATAAATTTTAAATATTTAATCAAATATAATAGTATATATGATGATTGATTAATTAATACATAACAACTATTAAATAATAGATATAATCTTAAATAAGCTATCAAACCCTCTCTTGCATAGGATAGAATTTACTCTTTTTTAATTAGAAAAATATAATAAGTAAAAGTAAAAAAAAATACTTTTAAGAATAACTGTATAAATAATTTTGAGGATTGTATTTCGAAAAATAAATTTTAAATAAATTTTGAAAATGTAATTAAGTCAAGTGATATAATGAACAGCATTTCATCAAAGATAATAGGATTTTAAAGGACTTAGCGATATATCCGCTATAAATATTCAACTCAGAATTTTTTATAACGTGTAATAATCATATGATATTAATATCTATCCATTTATATAATATGGAAAATTGTGTATGTAAAAAAGTTAAGTTTTAGTTAGATTTATATTTATTAAACCTGCAAGAACGAATATTCTTTAGTGTTTTGTAATGTTATTGTTCTAATAATATATTAAAAATTTATCTTTAAAAAGTATTGGAAACGGAAATTTCATAATAATGTATATATTATTAAAATTTAAAATTTAATATTGCAGATGCCTTTGAAATATTACGTACAGTTTATTATTTATATTACTTATATTTTATATATAATATTATATAACATTGCGATAATTCGAATATATTCTGTATCTATAATATATAATATCTATATATTATGTTATATATATTACATATATATTATACGTCAATGTAAAATTTTTTATTTTGTTTATTTTTTTCTTTTCAATCTTCAAATAATAAAATTTTATTTAATTTTATGCTAAAAAATAAGTTTTTACACAGCATATATTATATTAAATAATTACGATTAGAAAATTTAAAAATAATCAATTTTATTGAATTATTAAGAATTATTAAGTATTAAAGAAAATAATAACTGAATTATAATAAGAGTAGTCTGTTCGTTGCTCTAAAATATATTTTAGCACTATCTGAATATATTATTTTACTTGCTTAACGGTGTTAAAAAATTGATATAATTGAAATTAAGAATCCAATTAGAACCTTATAAAAAAAAAAAAAAAAAAAAATTGCTAGATTCATACAAAATTAATTTATTGTGCCTTGAAATAAATAACAGAAAGATCGACGTATTATACAAATAGAGGCCAAAAATAGAATAATCTAAATTCTGAAAGAAAAGAATCAGATGATCAGTTTTGTAGTCTGCAATTTTGGTCAGTTTTTAAAGCTGTAATTATTTCTTTCAATAAAATTTAACTAATTTTGCTTTTGTATGATTGATAACTGAATGAACTACTGTAGAATATTATTATATTTAATTAATAATGTAAATAATACAATAATTCAGTGATAACTGAAATTAGCGGATTAAAAAAAATCAAATTATTCACATTTTTTCTTTGTAGCTTCATAGTAAATTTTCAGGAATGTTAATTTATGTTTCAAGCACTACTAATATTGAATCATTACTATATTTATTAGGTAGAGAATTTTAGAAAAACAAAAAAAATTTGAAACTGCTAAAATAGAAAAAAAAATGAAAGGCTTTAAACGCTTTGAAAATTTGTATTGGTCTTTCAAAAATTACCAAATGAATTCTTCAAAATATCGACATCCAAAGGAAACTTGCTCATTAGATACATGGAACAAATGGTTTGAGAACGAAAACATACGTTTGCACGTGATATCTACAATAGATTACAACTGCTTTTGGCGTAAGGTAAAGTTGCATTCCAATATTTTGTATTTATGATTTATTTGATGTTTGTGGTAGAACAGATAAAAATAAGAAATGCTAGTTGTAGCGTTCTATATAATATCGATTTTCTTTTTTAACAGGGTCCATCAGTTCCTCTAACGATCTTTTAAAATTTAGTACTTTCTCATTTTTCCTTTCAAGTGATTTAGAAAAAAATACTTTTTCATAATTATTTTGGTTTAACAAATTATTGCACATTTAAATATATTGCATGATTTTACTTAAAATTATTTTGTTTTTGATCATTCCAGTTAAAATAATTTTGTAGGCCACCTTCTAAACTAAGGTAAGTAATAATACATGGATATTCTATCTATTCAAGAATCATTTGCAAAGTCATTTAAAGTCCACTAAAAAACACTAAATCACATTCTAAATCATTATTTTGTCACTGATATGGATCGATTATTCAAGAGGACAAAATCCATAACTCTGTTTTAGTATATGAGTATTCTTTTGATGCTGATCACTTCAAATAACATGGTGAATTTTTTGTTTTCTAAAATCCATACCGAAATTACTAGAATGTGCGCCTTCACACAAAACATACGAAATAAACTCTTTTAAATAACAAAAATGTACTGTAAATGGATGTTGATATGTTTTTTGTGGATTTTACAATATTTCTAATTATTACATATTAATATTTGGTGTGGATAAAGCAATTTAGTGTCGATTTATGTTACATTTTACCATATTTAGTAGATCAGCTTTATATCTTCTTAGTTTGCAAATGTATTAGTCGAATAAAAGTCTGACTATACAATATTATCGAAATAAAAATATTAATAAAATTTTTGCAGTTAAATATAATGTTAAAAAGACATAAATATGCATACTCTTTCATTTTTAATTTAAAAGTATAATTTAATATTATCATTAATTGTGCATTATTCTTTAATATTATATTAAAATAATATTCCTTTTGAAATATTTTAATGATATATATTTTTTAATTATATTTTATGTTTACAAAACGTTTGCTTTTTTTTAAAAAAGCGTAACAGAATAATGCTATTTCGCATCCTCAACGATTGGCCTTGGAATATACGGCACGACGACTATTTTGATCAAGATTATGATTATTTTAATTTGAATAATTTATTTTTTGAAACGGATGGAGATATTTGGAAAACTTACTATGATGAAAGCTCTGAGGATCTCTTTAGTCTAAATCTTTTGTTCCGAAACTTTACTATACGACCCGAGTGCGATGACTGCTGTATAAATGATTACGGTCCATTTGATTCAGATTATGATCTATGCAATTTTTGTTATTGCTGCAGATATTTACAAAAGTTTCACGATGATCAAACTTCAAAAACTTTATAGTATTAACATAGTAAGAGCTGTAAGACATTAAGAAGAAATTTTAAGTTCCAAATTAACCGTAAGCAAAGATAAACAAAAAATTCAGTTTTACTTCTGCTTTACGAAGCAATTTATTATAGTTTTATTATTGTTTTATTATTGTTTCTTATTATTTTCATTAACTTTTTAGGATTTTATCACTCTACTTAAAATTACTACAAGACACGTGATTTTGCAAATAAAATATTTCATTTCATAATCAATAAAGAATTACATTAGAAATATGATGCTTTTCCAAAAAAATTGATATATAATGTAAAACAATTTTAATACAGATAATACATATCAATATAAAAATCAATATTTTGATATATTCATTTGATCATTAATTTTGTGAACATATGTATTTGTTATTATTACATTATTACAAAATTCATTCAATTAAAGCTGTATCGATTAAAGCTGTATCAATTAAAGCCATACGGTTGAAATAAGTCATTAAATAAAAATATTCGATCAAATTGTAACGCACCGTCAAATTGTTTACTATTTACGTATTGTCGTAAATATTTATCTATTTATTAAAGATAAAACTATTTTATGTTATACTTTAGGTTATACTCAAAATCACATACATTATTATTTTACCGATAATGTCAATTTAAATGTAAAGTACAAGAGTTTTGAGTTAAATATATAGAATTAAGATGACAAATTCACGCTTTAACATAATTAATACTTCGTAGTACAAGTTCGTAAGTTAATACAATCAAATTATTACGTTAATAAGTAAAACATGTAAAATTAAGAGCAATCAATCAATACAAAAAATATTCTACAAAAATTCTAATATGTTTGATTATGTACAACGAAAATAATCTTCTTATAAGTAAATATGCATATATAAGATATTACTTAAATACTAGAATTTTGTAATGTTAAAAATTTTTATATCATGCTTCAAATTTTCAAAATAAGATTTCAGTTAAAATATTAAAATTTTAATACATGTACAATTTAAATATATTTAATTGTTTTTTTCTAAAAGAACAATACAATAACTTAAGTTACATATGCCCATATATATATATATATAGCTTATAATAAAATTTATATCTATTAACTACAAATAATTCTATATATTTAATTTTGTATTTACGCGTTGCCGTATACAATAGCTCTGAAAATATCATAGCGTTGACTAAATAATTTGTAAATTAAATTAGTCGAATAATTAAAATGTTTATGTAATGATTGAATACGCTCTGTAAGCTATCAAAACATTTACTGTCTATTAATAGAAATTAAGCATCGTGTGTATTATTTAATAAATGTTATAAATTTAACTTTTAGTTATATTTTCAGTCTATTAATAATTATTTTTATATAATAATATTAAATGTATAAAAAAATAAAAGCTATTGAAAGATGTAAAATTAGTATTAAATAAAACGATAATATAAAATACAATAAAATAAATTAAACTACATAAAAAAGGAAATTTTTTTTAGATATTTGTATGATTAGAAAATAAGTTTGAATGTGTGTGTACAATAAATTCAAATAGTCCAATTGATAAATGAATATAATATTATTGAGATATAATCTAATGATATATGACTTGATTTTTATGAGACGTATACTTATCAATATATGTTGTTAACTCGAAAAACGTTGTGGGGATATTTAACATATGCAGAGAATTTATAAAAATCTTTAAGAAGCCTGCTAACACGGCTCCGAGCGAGTGTTACGATAACCCACGAAATGTCGATGGGGGGCGGGCGAACGAAACTATTCGTTTAAAACAATTGTCCGTTAGCTTCGACCTAGTCGCTAGCGTCGAACGTAACTTGTGTTTACGTCAGAGGGCAGCGGCGTAGCTATTTGGCTCGGTTCGGCTCGGTTCGGCTCGGTTCGACTCGACTCGGCTCGGCTCACCTCGGCTCGGCTCGTCTCAGCTCGACTCGGCTCCTAGTTGCCGTTAACGGTTCTCGCGACTCCCGGAGTCTTTAAGCTGTGCCAGCGACTTTAGCCGTAGCGCTGCAGCCGCGGTCTCTTTCCGTCTCGTAAATCCCGCTGCAAAATTTCTTCCTACATAACATAGAAAGAACGGTGGCCGCTGCTGCGGCTGCTCTTTATCTATTCTCGTGTGTTATGCTGTGTGCATGCGGTGGCGGCTGCGCACCTACGCTACAGTGTCACTTGGCAGTCGCGGTCGAATCAGTGCGCACCTACATGGTGGCCGACAAAATATGCGTGTGGCTCAAAACAGAATCAGCAGCAGCAGCAGCAGCAGGAGCAGCAGCAGGAGAAGGAGGAGGAGTAGCAGCAACAACTGCAGCAGCTGCGGCAGCGGCAGCAGGAACAAGAGAAACAGAAACTCTAGCAGCAACAACAACAGCAAAAGCATCAGTAGCAGTAGCAGCAGCAGCAGCAGCAGCAGCAGCAGCAACAACAACAGTATCAGCAGTAACAGCAGCAGCAACCGTTGTAGCAGTAACAGCAGCAGTAATAGTTGCGGCAGAAACAGTAGCCTTAACAGCTGCAGAAACGGCCGCTTCGAGATTCCCGTCCTTACGACGTTAAGGCTTGCTAGAGGAGGTGGCCATCAGCTGTGAGATTCGAGTTCCGACGGAGCTCGTCTTAGTCACTGCTCGCCTGTGTATCGCGCGTCTTTCTTTATCCCTCGACTGTGCTCGAGTCATCGGGCCCCCGTAACTGCCGCTGACAACGAGGACGACAACTTCGACGACGAGGACGACGACGACGACGACTATATGGCCTAGCTACGGTATCGCACGCGCGTCCTAACTACCTGAGCGACGACGGCGAGAAAGGGACGCGAACTCTTAACTCTTTCCTCAGCGTCTGTAACTTCCTGATAATAATGGGTCCGTTGTACCTGAGAGTGTGCGCTCGTGTATGTATGTGCGCGTGTTTTTGATCGTTTACTGCTAGTGAGAAAGAGCAAAAGAGATATAGTTGTCGCGGTGGTGGGTGGGAGGGAATAACCGTGTGTTGTTGTTATTTGGTTTTTGAATTTTTAAGCGATCGAAGGAGTAATGAGGAGTGAGACGCTGCTCTGATAATAATAATGTTCGTCCATGCATTGGTGTTAAGTACCCACTGTGTCCCACAGCTTAAATCCTGAGAAAAATAAACGTAAGGGCGCGAGCTCGCTTTGTCTCTGCCGTTGAAAAGGGGTGGAAGGTTTGTTGCTACGGCGTATTACTGCTGCTGATATTCATTATCGTGTGCGTGCCTACGCGTGCGTACGTGTACCCACACATACGTGACGCGCGTGCTGTTTACGTGCGTGTGTGTATTTGGATTGTGTTGGCAGTGGTGTTGCTGCCACTGCTGCTGCTGCTGCCCGCTCCTGCCTCGTCGCTGAGGAGGGAAAGACAAAACGATGTTCGCCGATACGTGTGGTTTCGTCCTCTTTCTTCTGCTTCTCGTACCCTACATTGAGAGCGGTAAGCTTAGACTTATCTCACTTTTTTCTCTTTTTTTTTTATTATTCGTCACAATTTTTCTATTCGCTTCTGATTCTACTGTACTTTTAGAAACTAGTACATAATCAAGTCTAATGTAATAAAGAATTTAAATACATTTGCTAATTTAAAGATTTTTACATACTTATTGAATGTATCTAGATAAACGGTGTATTATTTACTTAAGTTTATTCCGCGATATATTATTGTTGATATAGATTAGTACGTTTGATTTTATATGTAACATACGATAGGATATCAATTGACAAAGGTAAATAAGACACTTTGAAATTCCTTTTTTTAATTGCTTGTTTATTTTTCTTTTTTCTTAATACATATAAAATAAAAATTTCTATTACCAGCTTAAATTTAAGTTATATAATATTTGAAGTACCATTGTTTTGTTTATTCCAACAAGATTCATCTATCAATGTCAATTTATTAAATTTTCTTTCACTTGTATATATTATAATTATAATATATTTATATCTTTTATTGGTATATATTTTTCTTAAAATAATTTTATTATTACGTTGATGGTTGTTGCAGTTAATCAAATGTTTTCTACTATCAAAATTAATGTATTGCTGTTATGTTACTTTTGCTAGTGACTTTGCATTAGTATGATGGAATTATATGGTTATATAATTAAGAATTATTAAAAGAATGATGTAGTATGTATCATTATATTATTCAACTAAGTAATACCTATTGTATAAATATATAAAAATAAAATAAAATATAATATAAAAATAAAATATAAAAATAAAGAGCAATGAATAAATATTTAATTAACATTTTCCCCCCTAATTATGGCATGAACAGTAAACGATTTAATATTTAAAATAAACTGCAGGTCAAATGTATTCATATACATTAATGTATTCGAGAGTTATAGATAAAAATGAGAAAGTAACATCAGATCCCAGTAAATATTAAAAAAAATTATAATAATATTAAATATTATTAATATTAATTTAATAGTGTTGAATCACATTAAAGCTCGTAATAGTGGATACATTTATATTATAAAATCAAAATTTTTATAAAATAATTGTATATTATTAGACTTTAAAAAATGAATTTTTCAAAATAAATAATATATTGTACAATATTTTCCCATATTAGGTGAAACTTATCAAGATTCTTATCTTGTATACTAGTTAGACGGAAAGTAAATTTTAGTATAACAAAGAAAGTATATTTATTTCTTTGTTTTAATGTAATTCACAAACATTGTGTATATTGTAAACGTAATTATTATTCATTTTCAGCTTGTAAAAAAAATATGACCAGCAGAAATATTGAACAGAGTTCAATGAGAGAAAACGATAAAATGATTGGGTAAAAAATTATTGTGGGTATTGGGAAAAGGCGAATAAGAAAATAGTTTTTAAATATTTTATTAAAAATTTTAGTTTGTTTCAAATGAAATATTGGAACAATAGTAACTCGATTTCTATGATTTACTCTTACTTTAATTTGATATCTCAATGTTAGTATTAATTTATGTTTTTTTTTACCAAAATTAAAATACTTTGGAGATTTTAAACATAATACAATTTTATAATAATTTTCTAAGTGAAAGTGATATATAAATAGATAATTATAAAGAAGGTTCATATTAATAAGAAAAAAATTTAATATAAAATTCATAAAAAAATATTTTAGAACAAATACTGTAAAAAAGATAAAATAATTATTAAACTTTAACTAGATGTATTTCAGTAACAGAAATTTCTCTTCGAAAAATATGAAAAATTTTATCTGTAACTGTCTTACAATGGCACTTATAATTAGTTATGTGTAACAATAAAATGGAAATTATAATATTATATTTATGAATTTTTTTTTAAATTTGTATACATAAATTTTAGAAAATATATTATTTTGTATAACTTTATATATTTTAATTTAATGAAATACAAATAATATATTCATGTTTTATCTATTTGTGTATTTTATTCATGATGGCAGTTTTTAAAGTGCTTCCTTTAAAATGTTACAAATACAAAATTATCAAACGTATATCGAAGCCTATACATTTAAATTTATAATAAACCCTTTTTGCAAGTTTTTTTTATTTATTATGTGATAATATATTCCTTTCCGAAATTTTTTATTTATTTATATGAATATAAAGGGATCATGTATTTCTTATATTTCAAATATTTTCTTATTAATTGTGTTAACATTTTAATAATATTAATACATTCTTATTAAATATGCTAATTCTGGACTTCACGTGCATTCCAGCAAGTAGATTTTTAGTAGATATTATGAAATTTTTAAATATTTATAATCAAATTATTTTCATTTTATTCTGAATGAATTTATTATATATATATATATATATATATATAGAGCAGGTGGTTGAAATTATTAAGAAATACTAAAATAATTAGTTATACATTGTAAGTATGCATAAAAACAACAAAAATAATATATATATATATATATGATATAATTTCTTAAACATTGAATGAAACTAATAAAAAATTTGATTTATGCATAATTTTTACTAATATTGTAAATGATATAAATAAATTGTATTAAATATTACAGCATCTCATACGAAATACTTTTTATGAATTTGAGCACAGATTTATTCAATAGAATATTCATAGAATACATCGAGTGTATTAGTCAATGATATAGTGCTAAATATGGGAGGTACAAATTTGAGGATGAAAATGAATATAACAGAAATTCTGGATTGGCAGGCAGGAAACGGGCAATTGCAATATAATTTGGAAAAAAAGATTATAAAAATTGATTTGTTAATCTTTAACAAGACAAGGCTTGAATGTCTAGAAAAGAGTTGTATTTAGTAATTGTACATAGGGCTTTGTGCTTCAAAGTAGAACGTTTTAAATTACTTAATGTTAAAAAAGTTCACTGCCTTCATTTTATTAATTTTTATAGAGCAAAAAGTATGAGTTAATAGAACCTTGAAAGAATTTTTTGTGTCAAAATAGTATTTTTTTTTGCATAGTTGAAAATAAATTTTATATTTATATTTTTTATTTAATTTTCATTTCAATTAAAATATACAAAAAAAATAATAATTTTCTTATAGTATGTTTCAAATATATTATTTTGGAAAATATTTATAAATTAAATAAAAAATGAAAAGACTATTTTGAATAAATTTTCTAAATACATTTGAACTTTAATGAAAGTCTATATATATATATATATATATATATATATATATATATATATATTTTTTTTTTTTAAATCATAAATTGAATAATTGTTTAAAGACGTTAACTTGAATACTTGAAACATTCAGATTCTATAGTTGTCAGGACATGTGCGACAGACGTACGTCCTCATGCGCAAGTATTCATGAATCATTTCCCAAATAGTATGGTGACAAACTTCAAAAACGTTTAATCATGTACATGTACAAGTTGACATCGTGTTATTATGAGATTAGATGCTGCAAGTTATGTTATTATTCAGTCAAGCATAGAAAAATGTAAAAAAGTTTTGTAATATTCAATAAAATTATTATCGGGTCGGATAATTTTTTTGATATATTTTTGTGTTAATACCATGAATAACATGATTATTATTTACATATTTCAATGTAGTGTTGAGCGATTGCGTTATATGATACTTTTTTATCAAATGTCGTTGCCTTTGCACGACAAAATGTTGTTGTTCATAGTTATAAAACAAATCCGTCATTCTCAATATTATTGTAAATTTAGTTTACATAATAATTACTCAAATTAAATTCTGTTTTAGATTTATTGATATCCCCATATAAAAATTTTTAGTTTATATTAACACATATTTATTTTACTCGATCCTCTCCCTCACTCATATATACATATATATCTATTAAGCAGCAATTGTACAGCAAATAGAAGATAAAATATTTATATACTAATTTATAATTGCTCATTCAGCGATTATTACGTCCATTTCTAAATTATTAATATTGAAAAGTTTGATAAAATATAAAAATCATTAAATTAATAACTTACTGGTCTATTTTTACAATCAGAATATGATGGAAATTTTTATAAGTATTAAAGAATTTTATGGCTTAAAAATATACTTTCCTTCATCATATTATTTATATGCAAATGATAGTTTATTGTAAGCCCTTCATGCATAAAATTTTAAATTTATAAAACTAGAGATATTTTGAAAATATAATTACTTAACATAAAAATAATTTATTATAAATAATATTATCATAACTTTATTATAAATAGTAGAATCATTTACTAATCATCATACATGATAAATTCATACATAATATTTATATTTATATTTTATATATGTGTTAATATATATACACTAAAATAATTAACATTTAAAAAATGTAATATGTGAATATAAGATATGAAATAAATAAGTATATTTGTGTTGCGATTAAAACGGTTAATGTATGAAAGCAAAATAGCTAGTCATCGATTTCATAAACAACACCATATACCAGATTTTCTCCTAGATGGCTTCTAATAATATTTTTAACTATATTCGTCCATGCTAAAATATGTACTATTATGTGCTCATAGACGAACAATCAAATTTCATGCGTATCGTATTATTGAGTTGAGAAAGTGAACTACATTATCCAATTTTCAACTCATTAAATGTTTTAGAAAGTAATAAATAAACAGAGGATCTATTATATATATTTTTATTTGTTATTTCTTAAATACTTTAGATATGTGTGTGTGTGTGCGCGTGTGTTGATATAATGAAAATTTAATTAAAAATAAGTTAAACCGTGTATTTTATTAATTTTAAATGTTTTAAAAAGTGAAGTTTTATACATTTTATATTTATATTTATATAAGTTGCGAATTAATTAAATGCATATTACGATTATTTACAATCATGTAATTAATGTGAATGTATAATTGTAAATTTATTTATTAATTTTTTAAATAATTTATAATAAATAAGTAACTATGTGAATTAAATGGTGGAGTAAATACAGTCCCAATATAAATTAA